TAGCAGACCTTAGACCTTAAATATTAAAAATAATATGGTGTGTGCCGAAATATGAGAATAATATCACTTCGATTATATGCATTATAATGTATCACAGTTAGCAGTTTCTTTGTTTTTCCACCAGTTGTTTACCTCGGGTAATACTGTAGTAAATTCAGATATCACACATAACTTTAGTAACTGACGAATTAATTAAATAAATTCGTGAATATCTTGTCATTATTCATACTCTTTTTCATAACTTCACTTGATGTGCACGGGCATAATTATTCACTAAAACGTTTTGCTAGGTTCAGTTGGTTAAGCGTTCGCGCGCGAGACCGAAGGACCTGGGTTTGAATCCCGCGAGCAAGATCGTAGACGAGCACTGCTGAGGAGTCTCACAATAGGACGAAACGTACGACCAGTGCCTCTAGGTTTCCAAAGGTGGTCTAGCATCGACCGGTTCATGATCTCAATCAAAAGATTAATAATCTCCACAACCCCTATACTAGTATTTCTACGCTGTTAACCGGTGATAAGATGCACGTGTTACAACATCATTCATCGTTCTTACTTTATTCGTCGATAAACAGGTTCTTAACACACCTAATAAATGCATCTTTAAGTTCTGAATTATCATATCTTGTTGGAAAACATTACGTCATAATCAAAGATCATATTATAAACATTGGAGTTGTATTTACACATTTTGAATACAAAAACCCTTGATATACATGTACGGTTATTTTTAGACCATCACATAACTGATGTTGGTATTAAAATGCTAACCCTCCATGAGGAATTAAAGTCACTTAGTGGTACATCAAAAATCTGGACAACGCAGCAATTATGTGATTGTAGAATGTTGGATGCCTGAATATGTTTTAATAAGGCATTGCGTTTTATTGAAGTAAAATGCATTAACAAGAAAATATTTGGGATAAATGTGTTCACAGCAGCAAAAACTGAAGCTCAGTAAAACAAAAACATAGATCAATAATCATGGTTAAATCCTAGAGTAAACTTCTTGCAGTCCACTGAGGTAAAAAACACAGATCCAGGATTATGTAGTGATAACACAAAGAGACTTAGTTTTGAATGTATATACTAATACCACGTCTCTTGAGATTTTTTATCGTTTTATGAAAAATTGATTTCGGCACCAAACAAACTAAGACCGAAAGACGTCAAAATCTGTAGTATTTTATTGAACATCTATTAGGATTTGACGAGAGAAAGGACCGCTCACCAGTAATCGCCGTTCAACTCTGTTCTGGACATTCATTTTTGGTTCTTTTCAGTTAATATTCATTCTCCCTATGTCTGCGCTTGCAAAATTGCTTTAGTCACGGCTTCCATATAACAAGCCCCATCTATAAACCTTAATTTGACAGGGGAAAATAGGAAACTTCTATATTATATTATATAAAGCATCATTTGAATTGGCAGATTGAGTTTTGCACAAGAAAATGACAAATAAAATTCAAAACTGAGCAATCATGGATTGAATTACAAGCTTCACTCTTGGAGGATCTAATGTTAGGTAAAGTTTTATAATTATGAACAGTATTTGTGTTAAAAACGTCTCCTCCGAATGAAGGAATCTGTGATTGCGAAAGTGACGCACTCGTTCACTAACGCCAGTTAACCCGCGTCGTGGAGCACAGACTGCCCACCAGTAATCGCCGTTCAACTCCGTTCTGGACATTCATTTTTGGTTCTTTCTTAGTTAATATTCATTCTCTCTATATCTGCTTCCACCGTTCGACTCAATCCGTTCGTCGGTTTACAACTTTTCATTTTCCCTTCAGGACTCTAAGTCATGGTTTTTTCATGAATCAATTCCATAATTTTCTCAATGTATGTCATAATTTCCTCTTCGGTTGGAAGTTGCTTTGTTCTCTACCACAGTAGTTCGTTGCTGATGGTATCCGACCAACGGACATTCGGTATCTTACGAAGACAATTCTTTATAAATACCTGTACTTTCTTGATGACGGTTGTGGTAGTTCCCGAAGTTTCAGCTCCGTACAGTAGAACTGTCTTTACGTTCGTATTGAAGATTCTCACTTTGATATTGGTTGACAGTTGTTTTGAGTTCCATATGTTCTTCAATTGTAGGAGTGCGGGTGTTGCTTTGCCAATCCTCACCTGCATACCTGCATCGGATCCTCCTTGTTCATCGATGGTGCTACCCAGATACGTGATAATTTCCACCTCTTCCAGAGCTCCTCCATCAAGTGAGATTGGGTTGGTGTCCTGTGTGTTGTATTTGAGGATGTTGCTTTTTGCCTTGTGTATGTTGAGGCCTATTGCTGCAGAGGCTGCTGCTAACTGGTTGTCTTCATCTGCATTTGTTCGTGTGTATGGAATAGAAGAACTAGGACATCTGACAAGTCCGAGTCGGCTATTTGGATCCAGGTTGTCCATTGTATTGCGTGCTTCCACTTGGATGTGGAGGTCTTCATAATCCAGTCGCCCTCCGGAAGAAGCGAACGGGTGAGAGTAATCAGTCTTGTCTGTTTTTAGTCTTGTTTTGGAATGCACCTCTCAGCTGTATGCCATGGCACCACCTTGCAGTGCAGTCCATCGTTTGAATTCCGGAAGATGTTGACGATTCTCTCAGTCACTTACACTATAGTGTCGAAGGAGGTTACGTAAGTTATTATTTCCACGTCGTCAAACGCTCTCTAATAGCCAAGGAAGTCAAAGTGTATTGAAGAGTTCCATTCAATTGATTATGCAACGATAATCCACAGTTTACCATTTGGTCTATGAACGACCGGACATTATGGAATGCAGTCTGCTGATCTCGATGCTGTACGTCCACTGATCCTTCGGCCAGTTAAGCAATACTCTGTTGAAAACTTCCCGATATTGACAACAATGGGATCTCTTTATAGTTCTCACATTCCCTCGGATTTCTTTTCTTTGATATCTTGATGTGATACCCTTTTATCCAGTCGGCTGGCACTTGTTCCTCCCCAAGTTTTTCTAACTAAACTGTAGAGCATGTTTGCAGTTACCCCTATGTCTGACTCCAATGCCTCAGCTGCTATACTGTAAGGTTTTGCTGTTTTCTCACTCTTGGTTTGTCTGACGACCGACTGTCGTTGGTGGAGTAACATCTACATGAAGGTCTGTCGGCACTGCTTCGATGTCCGATAGATTCAATTGGGCTGGTCTACTCAATGTTTCTCGGAGCATCCTACACATCTGTGCCTCTGTGCTTGAGTCTCGGTGATTATTTTGCCTTCTTTGTCCCTGATCATTACCTCTAGTTTTCTATATTTCCCTGATAGTTTCTTCGTCGTGTCATATATCTGTCTCATATTTCTTCTTCTGCAGCTTTTTCCTCTTTCCTTGCCAGTGCTTCCACGTACTTTTACTAGTCAGCTCTTATGCTCTTTTTCACTTACATGTTTGCTTGTGTGTATTCGGCATGACACGACAAGTGTGAAAGGGTCGTAAATCCCCTTACTGCGCTGTCAATTTTTTGGAATATCAATTTAATCCATTTCGATGGGTGGGCCTAGTATCTCTTAAACTTCCTCTTGCTTACTGGCTTTGAAGTCATTAGTTTCAAGCGAAAGGATATCTAGAGTATATGAAATATTGTTGTTGCAATTTTTTTCATTTATAACGAACGTTGTTTTGGACATTACATTAAAAGCCTTAGAAACGACAGATCTTTCCACTTCAGGAAATTGGCTGAGTGAAATGACGCAGTCCCACCTCATACTTATCCAATTATGTTAATCAATCTAGAATAAACCAAGGGTAAGGGCTTTTCAGGCCAACTCTCTATAGTATGCCCCGTGGGAACTAATGCTATTGGGTTATTCAATCACACTTCGAGCCTCAGACCGTAGATATATCACCCGTTAAGAAGGAAGCGGTGTGTAATTAGCTTTATAGACCAAAATATGGTATACCACCGATTATGGTTTACATCACACAAAGACATTATTTCAAGGCTACTGTTGAATCTGTTTGACGTTTCGCCTTTTAATTCCCGAGTACTGTGAAATTCTATGTCCTTAACGTAAGATTCATATTTAGAAAAAAACACGAATAATTCCCATGCAACTGCCGACCAGCCAACCAAGTATATTGGCTAGATTTCGTCCCACTGCCGATGTAATCCTGGTGGACTTCGAAGACGAATTTAATGAGTTTTCTGAATTCAGACTTTTAGGGAAGTCCCCTAACTTCGGAGCAGTAGGAAATTTACAATATTTGAATCAAGAACTCTCACATAGCCAAAGACAGGTGCTATTCACATGGAATTCCGTATAATACGCTGTATTGAATAGCAAGACTATATTCCTCTACCTGTCTTTACTAAGTTACTAGATATCGTTCAGTTATAATAGTGACAATGAAAAGCCTTCATGAAATGCTTCGGGTCAGTGATGAATTCTAAGCACTGACTGTACATTTCTGTTCAGATAGCTTTGTCGAAATATCTAAGGAATTTACACTGGAAGAGCAACAGTGTTGAAGTCTATTTAAGTTGAAAGAAAATGATTTGATACTCTAGCTTATCTCACCATTTGCCAAATATCCACTTTGAATTACTCCATCGTGACTGCTAAGCAATGTGGTAGATTAGGTGACCTTAAGCAACAAATATAACCACACTAAAGCAATCTCCTACATCGCACAGAACAAACTTTATGAAAATGACATGCGGAAAAACTGGAGGACATGCTAATGACCCTGGAGGTATTCAGTAAGCAGTTCAGTGTTTGGTTATCAGCCCACTAATCTGAAAAAGGTCCGGCTAGACGAATTTCACTTACCTTATATAGCTCACCACCATGATATCTAACTTAGAATACTGTATTCGGCCTACCAACTTATAAATTAATAAAATTTCGGACACTGATGTATACTTTACAGGGATGTATCGAGTTACAGATATGACTGAAATTTGTTTGTTTAAGTAACCTGACATTTTTTCAATACACGTTCCTCTATTCAACATATGTAATTCATTTCCGATGTCAAATGTTATGGAAGCTACAAGTTCCCCTGATGAAGCAGGTTGGTTTCTTCGTTTCGGATTCAATACTGATACTTTTGTAGGTTTGGATTCCACTCTCAAATATGAAAAAAGTCGATATAATAATGCCAATGTATTTCTCCCGAATACTCCAATTATAATCAAAATTGTTCATTCTTGCGAATCCCAGATAATAATAGATGCTGGAAACCAGTTACAATCAAGAACTGGGTCATTAGCTGGGAAACAACTCCCCCATGGCAGTCTTGTACTCACTAACCAGAGTTGGTATATGTTTTCCAATATATTTTAAACATACTCTATCTAGGTACGAGCTAAGATTGAAACATGGAGATTTTGAATGGAGTGTTCGCCGCACTTTGGCGGAATTAAAGTCCTTCCATACTTCGTTTATGCTACAGAGAGCCTTGCTATCAATAAGTAATAAAAGGTAGTTAAAATATTCATATATTCTTTTAGCAGAAAGGACAGCCGTCGAAAACTCAATCCGTTTCCTCCAACTTTTGAATTTGCTAATGAGAAGAAACTATATAATCGCAGAGTAACAAGATTTATTTTCAAAAGTTATTCTAGGTTATGTTGGAAAAGTACATTCAGAGCATTATCGATGTACGAGAATACCGAGAAACAGATCTAGTCGTGAGTTTGTCGTTACGGTTTTTGTATGCAATGAAATTGTCTTGGTGCTTATTACTTAAATTTTAGATCCGTTTTGACTGTCAAATTGGAAAGTATATATGTCAGGATATAATATTGGATCAACTTAGAGATCACCATTGCTAGAATTAGCACACGAGATCTAGCATCCTGTCCCTTCCAAATCAAATTTGGATTTAGCTGGATATAAACTTTAGATTTTCAAGCCTCTCCAAACTTGAGTGTTTCCCAATAATCTCTAAATTCCTACGATTTAAAATATTTCGGCTGTATAACACCTGAAATGCTCCGATAAAATAGTTTTCTTATTCCATTGATACGCGTTAGTAAAACCTCAACAACATTTTGAGTAGCTTCAGGTTACCTAAACGTTTTTATTTCACAACAAACTACTTAGATTCTATATTGTGTGTTTGGATAATGCTATACATCTAATCAAATCTAGTTCTTTCGACTGTATTTTCTGAACGTTTTGTAACTACCGATTTGTGAAAATATTGTCAAGTGTATGTGTGGATTATTGACTTACTGCGAAAAGCATGGGAAGAAGAGCTGAATTTTCTGAACAAACCAGTCTTATGCCCACTTTCTTTGTCACTAATGGGCCATCTCCTATGTAAGTGATAGCACTGTGTACACACTAAAGGTTATTATATTTATAATTCAAACAAGGTAAATAATAGTTTAAAAATTATTCTTTTGATACACGAATACTGTATTTACATCAAAACAGTAGATTTAGAATTGAAATGAAAACCATACATGGTTTTATATTTGGGTTTTGAAAATGCTTTCTGCGTGTATTTTGTTATAAAGGATTCAAAATCATGTACCGAGCCATCACTTTTGCCATTCTTTCAGTACTGACTGTTATATATTTGTTCAGCACCTCATTTTAGCAACGAATATAAAGCATGGAAGGAGATCGATGAACTGACAACTATGCCGTTTTGGAGTAAACCTGTGCAAAAACTAAACTTCGTTTACCCGTAATGAAATATTTCAGCACTGAAGGCCATAAAATAACAACACATTGTTTGTCGTCAAGTAATCGGTCAAAAAACGAAAAAATTCATGTAATTTGGGGCTGTTTTAGTCTCTGTGGGGAATGTTTACATTTCTCTTCTTGTCCAAGAATCCCTCTTGAAAGCTGTCTAGGTTTATCAATTTTAACAACTTTACTCACTACAAAATCTCTTACTCCGTATAAAATATTTTATTATTTCCCTGATTTACATGTTATAACGTATGTTCAACCCCATCAACTGAAATGGTGATTTTAAATTTTAAATATTTTGTAGCTCAGACTTCTTGAAGTATCACCTTTGTCTTTCGTGAATTGTTCCGGTGGTTTGAAATTAAAAGAGGATTTTGTTAATAAGTTGCCATCGTACAATTACTTTAATAAGTGCTGTTGTGTGTCAGGAATCTGTCTACAGAAGCGGTAAGTAAGCTTACACTGAGAAACATATTTCATTGTTGTATCTTTTATTTTTTACATGCCTAAATTTAACATGTTTTGGAATCCATTTGACGAAAAAACTGTCTTCAGCTTTTTCCTTTGACAGATAATTTTAGTTCAGGTAATAGTGAGAGGCTATTTCATTAGAGGTAGGCACATGTCCATAGTGAATAAAATGAGAAAGTGAGATATCTGGAAGTTTTTATTGCCCTACTTTACGATTTAGAACTTTTAGCCAAAAGGTAATGTCTATGAATATGGAGTATTGATTTTAAAAAATTAGCATAATAAAAGTAACCTCAAATTATGTTGGTTTAAAATCCTGTATTTACCCTGGGGCAGTAGTGTGAAATTACAAAAATTAGGGAGTTTCGGATAAAATAATCGATTTTTGCGGAAAGTCAAGTGTACATTAATAGGTCCAATTTGAATGAATGAAAATTTTGAAAGAGCTTTCACACTGAAGATTAATAGAATGTGTTCACCTTTGCCAATACGACCGATTTTGATTACGTGACTTGAGTGTTTCAACCAAGGTTTACATCTGCCATGTGAAACTATGGTAATTAGGAGTGCTTGAATTATAGTACAAACTAAGAATCCCAGAAATAACATAATTTAACCAAGAAGTATTAGATTAGCACGAGTGATATTATATCATCTTCATTTTTCCAACCTATTCCAGTGCTGGACAGCACAGGACTTCGGAATACGATATGACAAAAAATACATATTACGCACCCGAGTTTTTGAGTCAGCAACAATCAACAGCCTCATTGACCACCACCACATAAGAATTTTTCCCCATGTATTTAGTCCTTCCAAAATACTTTTGTAGTTTTGAAGAGACTAGCGACCAAATTATAGCCATCTATTGATGCTTTATATCTTTTAAGTCTGGCAAACTCGTTAAACAAAAAAGTCAAGATAATTAGGTGGCCAGTGGGTTTGTTTGCCAAACTCTGTACAGAAAGTATTGAAACTGAGACCGATACATATTTCAAGGACAAAACATCACTGTGCTTTAGTGCAATGAATTTAGTAAATCAGATTTGATACTTCTTGGTGGTACAGCCGATATTAGAATCTTGTTTGTTTGAGAACTACTGATGATTTTCAAGTTCAGAAGTTTCGAACTTGTTCTTAGTGAAATAGGTCTAGGTATCACAAAAGAAATTATAAAAACATTGGAGAATGTCTGAGGAAAATTTCATGTTATTATTTATTGAGGTCTGAATTACCGAAAAACAAGAGAAAAAGTGGGCCGATGAATTCTCAAGCAAATGATAGGAACTTAAATTTACTAATGAAAGCAGTCGGTAACAATTAACAATGAAATAAGCGTTAGCTTAGGAAAATCTGACAGTTGAAACTATGAACTGTCAGAATTCGCATTCTCAGTTGATCTATTCCAAATTTACTTCGGTTAATACCACAAGCATTCATATATTATTCACTAACATCAATAATCAAGAGCTTCACAGTCAATATATCTTTAAACATCCTCAGATGTTGTCGATTGAGAAGTGATATGGCTGTAAATTAAACCAAAGTAGTGCTTAAGAAATCATTCAGTCGAACTGTCTTACAGCTCGTAATTGTTGGACTACGAAGTAGTCTAGCAATGCATCAATTATCTAATCCTTTAATTAGTTTCGTGATTTTTCCAATCTTAAAATTTATATAACTATAACTCTAGAACAGGTTGACTGATTTTTTTATGGTAATAACAGTTTTGGACCTACTGAGGTTTTAAAGTAAATTGTGGTCGAGTCGACCATACAACTTGAATTTTCAATGAAATCACATTTTGCTGATTTATGGCGTGTCTTTATTTATTTACTTTCATTTTGACAGGTGGCTTATTTTAAAAGATAGCTACTTCGTATACATGAAACAACATGGAGATAAAGTGAAAGCCAAAGATATCGACAAATCAGCAAAAGGAAAACTAAGACTGGCGTTTTCAATTGAACTCAGTGGGAAAAACCGATCATGGCGTTTGTGTAATATATTCTTAATGGACCAAAACTTTGCGTTTAAAACGAGGATAGTAGAGCGATCAGGACAGTGTCAGCTGAAACTATATAATTCCCTTGGGTGAGCGTTTATTTGACCCCGTGAAAGTTTTCTGAAAACCGTCTGGATCTCTAGATATTTAACCAGGATATCAATTTACTCTACCAGATCTTGGGAGAAATATAGAGCTAAACGTATTTCACTAGTATACTATTTGTGAAATTACAACCATGTGATACAAATCTCACGTGAAATGCTAATGATGTAAAGAAGGCTATTTCATATCAAACATGAATGTGCGGTCTCTATAAAAACCTGTTTCTCATTCAGATACTGAAGTACTACCTATGAAAGTACTGCTAAATAATGGATGTCCGATTTCGCTAGCCCATTACCATATCCATAGCTTAAGAATTTATCAGGTTATCCTTAGTGAAAGTGTATACGTTACTGATCATACCATTTTCATACACTGGCTGTAAATCCCACAATTTTAAACCTTATTACATTTTAGGAATATAATAACTCACCTCTCAATACTTGTCAACTCCGTTCAATGAATATTTGTCAGAATTTTTATTTTCCAGTAAACTCAGAACACTTGCAACTATGGTCCTATTGGCATCAGATTTTGTTGTGAATAAAGTATCATTACATCATATTTGTTTCGTAGCTTTAACAAACAATTACCGGTCTGGAAATAACGGAGCGATTCAAAATACATCATTACCAGATATTGATCTCCAGTCGCATTTACTACCTGTAATAAAGACACAGCTTTGCTTAATTAAGGAAATTCTGCCTACGTTTGGTATTCCTGATAATTCCTGATGTAAAATAATATTATTTAAAATGCCTTTGTCGACTGGAAATAATTTGAAGTGAAAACAGCTATTTAGTACATCAGATCAATAGATGATACTTGTTACTTTTCGGTGCAAGAAAACTTTAGAAGATGTTGACATTATAAACTTCGATGTTTGATAGAATATGTAAATGTACCCTCCTCTTAGTTAAATTATGTGCTGTATAAATTTGTTCACAGGTAATTGCCATGCCTTATTGATAAGCTTAAGCGAATCTCAAAAGTTTCAGTGGAGTGATTTGCATAAATTCTTACATCTCTGAAGCCATTTGTAAAAAGAGCAAAGTACCTTAACTTTCTCTTTGTTAGAAAGCTAATAAATGTCATGGTCTGTTATTATTCATAATGATTTAATGCTTTGGGTTTGTTTGTTGTTGTTTTATGTCAAAGCGAGTTAGTTGTCATTTGTCAATCAGATGATCGAATGAATGATTGGAACAAAGTACTTTCATCACACATTTACAAAGATGGTACTAGAGATTTCATACAATACAATCGTTTGGATCATATGCACCTCCGAGGTCTGATACGCAAATATGCATGTAAGTTTATTACTTAAGCAAGTTCAGCAAAGTGATCTTTGTCAACATAGGTATGTGGAGACTAGTGAGTTTTAATTGAGATCATGAACCGATCATCGTTAGACCACCACTGAAAACCCGGAAGCACAGGATGGCAGTTTCGTCCTATTATGGAATTCCACTGTAGTGCGGATCCAGGGTCTCGCACGCGAGACTCAAACCCGGGACCTTCAGTTTCGCGCGCGAACCATAACCGTAACCAATCGAGTGCAAACGTGTCGACTGTGAAGCATTTACCCACCAAAGACAATTGAAAATGGTTGCGCATTATCGTGGACTGGTTGAAGTTAGACATTAACACCGTTTGACTGCGGGTCAGTGGTCTAGAGGTTAGACGTTTGCGCGAGACCGAAGGTTCTGGTTTGGGTCTTAAGTGCGGAATCGTGGATACTCATTGGTGGGAAGTCCCACACTAAGACGAGACGGCCATCCGATGCTTCCGGGTTTTCAATGGTGGTCTAACTATGATCGTTTCATGATCTCAATTAAAATTATATCTGCTTTAACTTAACATGAAAAGTGCTTTAGAATAGAGTTCATTAATGATGGTCAAAAGCTAGTGAATACTAGATTTAACTTACCTTTTTTGTGCTAAACTCTTCATACTATTAATTTCGCGAAATCATTGTATCAATCGAATATCAGAAAATTGGCAGTTAAAGTCTATTTTTTATTAAAGTGTCTTCCTCGAAACTCAAGAAAATATATTTGTAATGAACACCAAGATTAAAATAACGGAATATATTGGTCAAATTCAACAGAGAGGGCACCAACCAAATCCCACTTGATGGAGGAGCTCTGGAAGAGGTGGAAGCCTTTAATGGAGTTTTGTTCTCTGAGCTGGATGGTTTAGTCGTGGAGCTTTCATCGCTCTTCTGGACGACATCATCAGCACAAACTTCAGATAGAAGGGAAGTGTACGAATTTCTTCATATGTGTTTCACAGCTTGTTCTGTACACCTCAACGTTGATTGGTTCTTATTGACCATAAGTTTATCATTGTTTACTTCTTTGTTTTGGTTGTGTCCCCCATTGGTTAACTGGCGTTAGTGAACGAGTGCGTCACTTTCGCAATCACAGATTCCTTCATTCGGAGGAGACGTTTTTAACACAAATACTGGTTCATAATTATAAAACTTTACCTAACATTAGATCCTCCAAGAGTGAAGCTTGTAATTCAATCCATGATTGCTCAGTTTTTGAATTTTATTTGTCATTTTCTTGTGCAAAACTCAATCTGCCAATTCAAATGATGCTTTATATAATATAATATAGAAGTTTCCTATTTTCCCCTGTCAAATTAAGGTTTATAGATGGGGCTTGTTATATGGAAGCCGTGGCTAAAGCAATTTCTCAAGCGCAACACGAAGTTTTTATTACTGACTGGTGTATGCATCCCACTGTATTTCTTAGACGTCCAGTACGAGATAACACATGGCGCTTAGATATGCTGCTTCACGCAAAGGCAGTAAGTTGTTAAGTTTCCGTATTTCCATCTTAACTAGATTGTTATTTAATAGTGATAATAAGGATAAAATCAAATAATTTTCATTTCGTTAAAGTTTGTCATGGATAAGATCTTTTAAGCTGTCTGGTAAATTATTAAACTGATGGGTTGGAGAATCTCCAGACCCTAGTTCAAGAAGTTGTACTAAGTTGATAATCGTAAATTTATCACCATTAGCCTTCTTAACTCAGCACCATTCAGAAACTTACTGTTTTTTTCCATTTATTTGCCCACGTTTGAACACAACACGTAGTGATTATAAGGTACTTAGCCAGCAAGTTACTGTTTGAGTAATGATCATCAGTGTGCCGAAATATGTGTTGTCCTCCATGGTTATTGTTTCTTGAGGGAATAAATTATTGTAATTGTTTACAGGACGAGCTAGTTGACCTAGTTTACGCTTGAGGGGACATTTTCAGGAGGGTTTGTTCGTATTCTTTATTTGAAATCATCCGGATTTGAGTCAGTGCTATGAACCTTTTCCGGTCTCGAAACAGCCGGGAGATTTAATTTGTGGACCAGCCTCCGTGGAATTTTCATTATGGAGTCTTGAGATAAATCCTTAAAGGTTCATAATATATTGGATATATTCCAGAAGATGCACTTGAAAAGTGGCTAATGATTAAATTTATTTTGTTATTTTTTCCTTCAACATCCTGACTCTCATACACACTACCGTTCTGTAATAATATTTCCATAGTTCTTTCTAAAATGAAATATATGCATGCGCTAAATCGTTATAGATGTTGAACGCACTAAAATAACCTTTTATATCACGCTATCACTATTTATTATCTTATGTATAATCGTTTACAAGGAACTAATGTACTAAGAAATTGTTTAGAAAAATATCATATTGCATTTCTGTTACATTCCACTTTCTGAAACAACTTTCGCTATTGGAGCAATAATAAAAACGTACATCTTGTGCAGAAGAATATTTTTTATAACCATGGTATATTGATGTCACTGTATTCGTTTTTCAAGGGATTATTTCTCAGCTAGACGTTTGCTGAAGAAGTTGACATATAAGCGTATATAATACAATACCTTGTTTCATATAAATTATTAGTTAGCTTTTTTACTTTGTTTTTCTTAATTTAATTAGACTTTTTTGTGTACGAACTACTTCAATATAGACCCAGGAACAACCTTTAGTTCTCTTTTATCTTACATCTTACTTATTTAAAACAAGTATTTATATTAATTAGTGATCTGATGACCAGACTGATTGCTTTCAGTCTCTTCAGTTAAAAACCCAAGCAATTTTTAAGCTAGCGAAAAGTGTTTTATTTATTTATGAAATCATGCAGTTTAAGATGGTATTGTTAAGTTATATGACTTATGCACTCACGATCACCTAGAGGGTGCACCTAGTGCATTCTGTATTTCGTTTAGAAAAAATTCTGAAGTTCAACGGAACGAAATAGAAAAAATATTAGTATAAGTCACCAAGCAAGACCGTTCTTGACATTTTTTTACAGGAAAACTTGCTGATTAAGTTATTTTCTGACTGTGGTCTAGGAGAAAATTTATATGGTATTAACAAATAAATGGTTGGTAGAAATATAATGGACCCCTTATGTTACTTTAACCAGATCTCATGTTGTTAGGATCAATTTCCGACTACTAGGGTCGCTTATCGACTTGGAATGTACAATCAATATAGTCATTTTTAGTAAACACTCTTTTTATGTTGTTTTCCGATTGCTGTGAAAGGCAAGGCAATAATGTTTAAGATACATACTCTCTTTAAGTACAAAATGTAGCTTCTTGACTGATCTGAATCATGGTCAGTCAAGAAATTAAGGGTGCTAAACACTTCACTTGTCTTCAAAGTCTCATCATCACTGGTGGGTTTGAGCTAACGGTCTCTGGACGGACTTGCCAAGGTAGGTTGGCTTTTGTTAATGTGTACAAGTTGTAACTTAGGAGCGTTATCCATCAGAAGTCCTTTATGTGTGTGAAACATGGCCCTTTAAGGTAAGAGATTTTCTTGTGTTACTAGTATTTGATCACGAATACATTTGCAAAATTACTCGGTTATCGTAGAACGAATGATTGAGTAATCGTAAGATTAGGCATAGAGGAAAAACGAAAAATCGTTTAACGATGTTATGAAGCTCTATCGACCAAGGTTGTTTGGGTATATGTCGCGTTTGCTCAACCACTGCTTTCCTCAATGTTTCATGTTCACTTTTGTAGTGGTGTGTTAGAAGAAAGCTAGTGGTGGTAAGACCAATACATCCCGTCAGTCCATAAAACTTTTGACTGTTGGTCTGAGTCATGTTGACCGGTATAAACTATCTGATTGAGAAACGTCAGATAACTGATGTCAGTGACTGCAGACGTTTGATAACTCCGCTCGGAATTGATCTCAGTAGCGCAGATATATTCACACTATGTCTTTGTAAATCTTTGATTCCAGCATTTCTTCATACATACCTGTTCATTCCGTTTTAAAAAACCAAATTCTCAATGTTGAGCGTCTCTCATTATCATTGCCACAACATTATTTCAATTTTTTCATTATGAATATTTTTAAATTCACCTCATTGTACCAATAAGTTAAGGTACTTTGGGCCAACACATATATATTCCAGGCTTTGCGTTAATTATAACTGAATGAATTTGTTCTATAATACAATGTGTATTTTCAAAATAAATATTTAATTTACTAATCTCAAGTGAGTAAATGATTTGAAACTATATGACTAATGTTAACGTGTCATGTATTTATACACTAAATTGTTAATTTAGATGGGTTTTATAAGGACTTCTGAGATTATTTAGAACAGCTTTCTGTCAATGTTAAGAAGCTGTCTGTTAACGAACAGTAATGATGCTGTCAAAATTAATAGTTCTTACGATAATGTGCCGTGCAAAAATATGTCAGGGTTACTAGTATTAAGACAGTCACGATTACATACAACATTGTTGCGCTTGTATCTGGCTTTACATTCATGTCATCATTTGCAAACACCATAAGATTTGATTGAAGTATCACTGAGAAAGTATAGGTATCATTACCAAGGTTTGGTTTGATAATTTCGAATAAATTGAGCATTGGGTTGATTGTTATAAATAAAAATAATATATTTGTAATATCCCAATGAGTAGAAAATTAGATTTTCTGACGTTTCGTGACTTAGTGTAAGTCACTTCTTCAGAGAATAAATAACCAAATTAAAATTAATCCAAGTTTAAATAGTACAACGGAACAATGCAAGAATAATATTTGGTCAATCAAAAACAGGTCTGAACAAGTTGATGTCTTGTCATTTCTGTTAAGGTGATTCATAAGTGATATGTATGTAAATTTGTGTGTGTATGTATGTGTGCATTGTTTAAGAATGAAAACTTGTGTGACCTTTATGGTAAGAAAGGATAGAGTTTAGATGGTGGTTGGAGGTAGTCAACAGGAAACCCTGGACCCGGGTTTCGTGCTACTTGGCACTCGTCAGCAAGGTGTACCTGCAATCTTGAGGGAACTGGTGCTACCTGGCGGATTCGATCTCGTGTCACCCAGCTTCACAGTCAGAGACGTTACCACTGAGCTATCCGAGCCGTGACTAACCTCCTGTAGGACTGAGATGTAATCACAATTGATTGATCACTGGGTGGTGATCAATGTCATGCTTGTCTAGTCCTTATTAGTGCAGATCGAATGCTATCGATCATGTTGCAATGTGGCCACCAGTCTAGGTGACTCGACACTGCGGGCACTATGTATTGAGATTAGATAGAGTTTAAATAGATAGATAGATAGAGTTTAAATTTGTAATATGATAGTGTGAAATTGTTAATACGATCAGTCTGAATGGCTAGGATAGATGGTCCAAGTAGGATGTATGGTAAGGCCTTCTTTTCTATTGAGAGAAGTAGGATTATTATCAGAATGAGTTTTCTGGAGATTTTAGGAAATTTCACAGGTTGAAATCATAAGTCAATTGAAGCTAGACCACCATGGAAAACCTGGAAGCACTGGACGGCCGTTTCGTCCTAGTATGGGACTCCTCAGCAGTGCGCATCCACGAAGCCGTCACCAGTGGAGTTCAACCAGGTCTGTTGTGAGATATCAGCTCACTGAAGACAATGGTGTTCGGTGGCGCAGCTTCGTGGATTGGTTGAAGTTAGACATTAACACCGTCGGGTGCCGGCTCAGTGGTCTAATGGTTAAGTGCTCGCGCGCGAAGCCAGTAGGTCCTGGGTTCGAATCCCGCGGGGGGGGTTCGTGGATGCTGCTGCTGAGGGGCTCCATACCAGGGCGGAGCGGCCGTCCGGTGCTCTCAGGTTTCCCATGGTGGTCTAGCTTCAATTGACTCATGATTTCAACCTGAGAAGTAGGATTAAACACTATATGGAACGCCTCAGCTGCCCTCCTTTCTCTGTAGTTGGAAAAGCCTTTTTGCAATATTTTGATATTTTTAAAATCGATTTGCTGGTTGTTGAAAATGGCATGAACTGCTATTGCCGATTTAATTTGAAGTTGGTTCAATTCTACAGGATTGGTAGGAGGTTTCTTTGTGTACTTAATATGTTCTTTGGCTCTAGTCAAGATTTCGCATCACAATCAATACAACCTAATTTGTAGACGCAGTTCTGTGTGGACATGAAAGGAATTTTTTCTTTCAGGCGAACTAAAGTATTACGTAGTGTGTTCGTTGTTTTGTAATATACTTTAATTCTGTGATGTTTTAAGATTCTTTGGATTTCTTCTGTTGTGCCATGACGGTATGGTAGGACTACAGTGCCAATCCAAGGCATTTCATTCGAATCATTATTATAATGTAATAAACTGTGTTGTTTTAATATGCTTCTAATAATCTTCATAGGAAAATTATAAAATTGTAAGATGCTGATTACATTCATTTGTTCTTTTTGTTTGTCTTCCTCTGATGTGATGATCTTGTTAGCTCTTCTAAAAAGATTTAAGGCTAGCGAAATCTTAGCACTGAAAGGATGTGCTGAATGGAAGTCAATATAACGATTTGAGAAATTATATTTATTTATTTATAACTTATTTAAAGTTTATTTAAGGTGTTTATAAGAAAATAAGAGCTGTTTTAAGTAAGCTTGTATTTTTGGTAAAACGTTCTTATTTAATGGAATAAGATAATAAAGAGCACATTCTGTACCAAATTTTGTTAATACTATGTTTTGAATGTGTGCCTGTTAGCTCACTTTTTTCAGTTATTTGTATTTGAAAGTAATAAGTCGTATTTGTGTATTGTTGTAATCAATATATATAAACATCAGGATCTTAATGACGGACTCATTATAAACCTCCTTTATTGAATGCATAGAAAATTTAGTCTACTAGATTCTTAAATGGATATAGAAAGTTAAGGTTGAAAATATAATAGTTTGAATTATATTCGTCTTTCGATATTTAAACCAATCTGTTCTCACTCTGTAGTTTTTTCACTTACTACACATCCATTCGGTTGAAGGTATAAGTGATTTTAGATTAACTTCTGGAAAACCACTATGTCAATAATAATAACTTTCAATTGTAAATAATAAAGGCTATATTCTATTAGTTTTGTCCAGAAACTTAAATCTACTTCTGAATTCTGATTGCATATTCGATCCTAAAGACGTTACATGGTCTTAAATCATCGTTTGAACTACGTAGTTTTGTGTAGAAGGACAGTTCGAACTGAGACTTCATTTGAATAGGTTTCTGCTGCTTCTGGATGTTTATAACCATCCAGTACAAAAAATGTGTCACAATATTTAACTGTTGAGCTGAGTGGCAGAAACTACTTCTTAAAACTCACTCAATAATACAGGCACTACAGTATTGGATTCGACTTGTGAACATACACAAAATACTTTCATATTGACGTCTACAGTCATAATTTTTTACACACAATTATCAAAAATATTTATTTTTAAAAAGGTTTTCTGTAGTTTTTGACTCAAATAACATTTTTGTTAATTCTACATTGTTTTTAAACAGAAACAGGGAGTTAAAATCTATATAATGCTTTATAAAGAAAGTGAACTCGCCGTTAAATTTCGAAGCATAAAAGTAAAGCGTTGGCTTCGATCTCTGCATTCTAACATATACGTAGGTTTATATATTTTTTAATGAAATTTTATCTATGAAAATTTTGATGTCACTTATAATAATCTATTAGTTTTTATGAGGAAGTAACATATGATAATAAACATAAATTTCATAGCCAAATGAAAGCAAAAATTGTATAAAAAGCTAAGTATCATAAAATTTAAAATTAAATTAAATGATTTATCATTAGTAAACCTCCACTTATCTACAGTTAGATATTTTTTAAAAATAAATAAAAGAATCTCTGTCTCTTAGTAATAAGTTAATAAAATATAAAATAAAATCTAAAGCATTTAGTTTTTTTTTTATAATTGATTAATCCAACAATAGTGTTGATACAAACTGTCAGTATAAAATATGAAATACGAACAGTCAGCTTAGTTTCAGTGTTCGTAGTAATCTTCTTGTCATTATTTAGCCTACTGTTCAAGATCCACTAGCTGTCATTTCTTAAATTATTTATGATGATCCCGTATAATCAGTGTTGACCATTCGTGATCGTTCAATAACACTTGTCATTAATCAACTCATGAAAATCATCCTATCATGTTCTATCTCGGGTTTCAAAGACCTTTTAGAAATGATAATTTTCACTAAATTATTTCGAAATTCAAGTATTTTTAATAACAGCTTGATAAAGATTGTTTTCACTCTGACTTTAATTATGTTACTCCCTGTAATTTCAGACTTTTGAAGCTATCAAGAAGGATTGAAATAGACTAGTGAATTCAATGTATTCTTCAAGCCTTGTATTTTCGTTAAAACTTATTAAACAAACCAAATGTATATGAACGTTAGTGATTTACTTTTTTACCCTCTCTGTAACATCAACAAGAAAATCCAATCGTCTATGAATAGCTTATTTCAAGGGTTTACTTTTGTGGGCAGATTAACGACGTGTATTTATTCACTCGTTTTTAATTTGAATCTTTTCTCTCAACGAAGATATACCGTTCTCCACGATCTACACGCTTATGGAGTCATCATGAGAAAATGGTCGCTGTTGATCAGTCAATAGTTTTTCTTGGTGGAATTGATCTGTGCTTTGGTCGATGGGACACCAATAACCACAGGTGAGATATAGATTTAAATCATTGTCCTTCCACTTTTCTATAATCTGGATTTTACAATAGTTTTTCGTAGAATTTATAACTAATGCTATTATTTCTCGAAAATGAATTTTCTTCGGTTTCATGTTAACAAGAATCTTTGTTAAAATATTGGATTCATAAATCGAAAAAAATATTGCGTCATTGATCTTTTGAAACTGTCAGATTTTACATTATATGACTTTTATAATGCTCATTTGAGACCTTAGAAACAAATTACAAGATATGCACATCGTTCTCAATTTAGTAATCAAGCAAGGTTTCGGTCTAATATGTCATTCAAGCAAAATTTTTCATCTCCATCTTAGCACTATTTTGCCTGAAACTTCAAATCTCATAATCTTGAGTTCACGTATTTAATCGGCCTTCATTTATACGTCTTTTTATGATATTTTAATATTTTTTAACATTTTCTTTTCTATAAAAACTACCTTACTTATACCATCAAAAAGGGAATAATAATCATTATTGTCTTTTTGTTCATCAATCCTCTATTTATGTAAAAATAACTGAAAATAAAAGCTTTCGAGCTACTACATTCAGCTCAAACAATTATTTTGGAGTCAGTGCATTCTATGCTAGGATACTTTCAATGATTTTAATGCCATCTCATATGTATTCTACAACAAGTATGAACTTTAGCTTTTATCTAGCAAATAAAATTGTTATTATTGTTTAGACTGAGTTCTAAAACAACATAAGCTCATGCTACCAATGTTAATCAAGAACAGTACCCCTAATAAACTAATAATTTTCCAACAGAAATTGATCAGCGAATTCCGATTTCTTATGCCTACTTATTGATACTCATAAGACAGATGGAACATGTGGTGTACTATCAATTTAATCTTAGTTTAAAAAAGTTACAAGTTCTTGAGTGACATTGTATTCAATATACTTGTACGTTCAGTATTAGAGATGAAATAGTGAAAGATGTTTTTTTTTAAATCTTTTTTTATGCGTACTATTTATATTAGTGGTATGTTCTAATTTCGTAACCTAACAGTAATAAAAATTACGTGGGGAGTTTATCTGTTCATACTTTTGAAAACATATGATTCATAAATTGTAACAATGTTTAAACTTCATTTTGTGACTATTTCTAATGGAAACTGCATCACAATTTAACAAAAATCAAATAGGTTTAAGATTAAACGACAATATGCTGTAGGCATTTATAGATAACTGGAAAATTTTTGAAAATGATTATCTCAAAATTAGTTGAAAATGTAGTAAACTGCCTTTATTTTTCATCTTCAGACATTTTTTCATACCACAAGAAAAGTGGTCTTAAGTATCAGCTATTGTTAAGCCTTTTATTTGTATAATGTGACAAAAATGTCATATTATTAGTCAGATGATTTTGTGAAAAAAACTGAATTTTTACAGTTTTGTGAATATTTTTATGTCATTTATTGAGAAACTAACAGATTGCCGAATTGCATTAGCAAAGATATATAACCAGATAAAGCTAAGGCAAATGTTTAAAACGTTTTTCAGAAATTTCTTTTTCATATCACATTCTTATCTGTTCTTCAAAAGATTTGGTTATCTAGAGTAATATACATACTGATTATTTTTAAACGGAATCTTCTTGTGTTTTTAAATAAAACAACATAAATCATCTAACGGATGAATTTTGTAATTGTTTCTGCTGCTGTTGCTGCCTTGATTTGGCCTGCTGATGTTCAGAAGGACAATGATGGCGTCACAATTAAACCATTCAGCTTAAAGAACGAAAATCCACTAAGATCATTAAGCTGATCTACGAATCCATACAGTTGTCGTGTAATGTATTTCTACATTTACCGATGTACAAAATATGAGCATGTTTAAAACATGTTTAAAATCTAATTAGATGTATATCTTTAGTAGTTAAAACCCGTTCTAACAATTAGTAAACTTTTTCAAAAAAAACGATCAATACCCCAATTTAATTTGATTTCGCTTCATCTTCAGATCTGTGTCTTGAACAATTGTTATATTGAGTCATCTGAATAATATCTTTTTCAACGATCGTGAAGTTCATATATGTTATCAGACATTATTTCCTCGTTTTTCTCCTGTTTTATTACTAATTCCTTGTATGTAATAGAAACGTATTTTTTAACATTAAAGAATCTGTGTAGATAAGAACATTCACGTGAACCACAGTTTCCGTTATAAAGGTTTCAATAAACGATATTTCTCATGCCATCCCATTAGTCTTGGAAGTGTACTTCGACAGATGCGTTTTGAAAATATTGGTGACATCTTTTGGCGAACAAATACCTTAACTTTAGAAGCAATTTGGTTCATGAAAATGAATAATCTGGGTTTATCAAGTACTCTTATTCGTTTTACAGCGAAAATGTATCGAGAATCTTTATATCACTACTAATTTACTATTAGTATTGTCATGCAATTGGTTCCCTTTATGAATTTAAATAGAGCAAGAACAAACATTTATGCAGTAAGCCACGACCCGAGCACAACCCACCGCAGCATCTCAATCAAGTCATCTAGACCGGACTAGGCTGTGGCATTGTGACTGTTTATATTACTAATGTTTATGCATAAGGTGAATAAATACATTTGTTTTGGTCATCTTAAAATATTTTTCCTAGAGAAGGCAATAATCAAAATAATTTATTTAGAATCTAAGTAAAACTTTCAAGTGAAATCATACCAAACCTCAACAAAGGCTAAAATTTCATTAGACATAATAAGAAACATGTTATTGCAAAACGTTTTACCAACATTATAATTTTGCAAAATACTTTCATGCGAACATGATTTCTATGAACTGGAATTATTCATAAGACAGAACAAAGTATATACATAAGTTGAGAACGTCAACTCACCAGTATACAGTTCAGGGTGTGACTGATACCCAAATGAAATAAAAACAGTTTGTTTAAAAAACTATTACTTTGAACGAATAACAGTAACTTACTTAGGACCATTTTTATCAACATCTAATACCTTGAGTAAAATAATTTTATAGGATAGTTTTATTTTCTAATGCTTTTCAGCTAAATTAACCAGTTCTTGAATAATACTATATATATCTTTACAGTACGAACATATTTTCCGAAAGTACTACAATTGAATTATTCAGTTTAGCAACAAGATAGAATAGTTTATTGAGACATAAAATTTTTGAGTGAAATCTCTTTTATGGAATTACATCCTTGTCAAGTCCTCCTTGCCCCTTAGTACTTAAATACTCATCTTATTTAAAATGGTAAAGGAAATTTGTAGCTTAGGAGTTTCGTTCTCTGAGCTGGATGGTATGGTTGTGGAGCTTTCGTTATTTTTCTGAATTACATCAACACAAACTTCAGGCAGAAGTGAAGTATTCGAATTTCACCACATATGACTTACTGCCTGTCCTGTCGATCTCAATCTTCATTGTTTATTGTTTACCTTCAACTTATCATTATCTGCCTCTATTTTGATAGTATATCCCATTGATTTGATTCCTGGTCCGATATTTATCCATGACTTTCCTGATTGGTTGATAGATTGGATAGATTTCGGTGAGTTCGTTGATTGGTGATTGACCAAAGTGCCAAGCTCGGAAAAATTCCTTGGTGCTTTTAGGATTCCCTCTGTCCAAGATCTCAACAATTTTCCAATCGAATGTGTGTAAACACACACATCCAATTTATCCAGAGAAATTACAAGATTACTGAAACATTTGGTGTATTCATCCAATCACTCCATTAAATCTTCCATACAATTCTTGGATAAGGTTAATGAGTTTGAAACCAACGACGACGAACTGACGCTATCCTTCTACGTAAAAATCTTATTCACCGCAACGGAACCAAGCTTGACAAAGGAGACTTTTTCCCTTCTCTTCACATAAATCTCCCAAAGTGCATGGTGCTTTGGAGTCAAAGTTCATGGAAACTCATCAATTTAAGATTAACATCGTATTTTTGATTCTACAATCAAATCTACCAACAGACGAAAGGAACACCAATCAAACCAACAATATCAGAACTTATTGCAAAAACTGTTGTTCAGAGAATGGAAGCCTCGAATTTACCAGTGATCAAGCAAAAATATGGATTCTTTATGTGGACGACATGTTCATCAACAAGACGGAAGAGGTGAAAAACACGTACAAACTGATCAACAACGTCTTTGATGATATAAAATTCACAATGGAAAATTAGTCGAACAACAAGCCATTATTCGTGAACATCTTGGCTACCATAACCGACACAGAAAAACTGAAAACTCAAGTATATCGGGAACCAACTCACACGGCAGTAATAACTTCAGAACTCGAAAAATCAACTACGTACAAACCCCATTAAAGAGAACAAAAACACACTGAAGCACATTTGCAGCGCAAAAAATGAAAGAAAATACCTGGTGAATATCCTTCAGAAGAACGACCTCCAAATCAACTTCATCAAGAAATATCAGCCCAGCTTATCAGTAGAAACGAATTCAATAAACCAGCAAAAGGACTATCCAACTATATATATAGCAAACATATCATGAATTACAACGGGAGTATTGAAGTCGTCGAGAATAGGTGTAGCTCATAAATCAACAAAATCACTTCAATCAAGCCAATTATATTGGTAGTTTGCTATCTTTTTTTCATTTCTGAGTGCAAAAATGGATTGGTTTATGATGCTAAATGATACCATTTTGAATCTTTATCTTTCCTAGTAACTAAATTCACTGAACAAGCTATGAGAAAAGTTTCTGGAAATTCATGGAAATATAGCCTGTTTTCTGCAAATCTGCTCAGTCAATTAGGTTTTTTTGAAGCTAGTTCTCAAAACATTTACACCATATAAAATCTAGTTTTATGACTCGAAAAATCTGTTATCTATAAATAGTTTGAGATTTCCATCATCTACACAATGAGTTTCTTGTTGTTTGTCAACAGTCATTTTGAAGTTCAGATTTATAGGATCTCTGAACGAAACGTTAGAAACAAGAATGAGAAATCTGATTCAAAACATGCAGCATGTTTAACTTTAATTGCACATTTAGTTGTGTTTGCTGTGATTTAAAATGTCAAATCGCATTTCTGAATGCTATTTTTGTAATATTTTCAGTGTAAGGCCCAAAACAACATGTGTGACTAAGAGGTGTAATAGAGTTGAATTTTCGGGTAATTGGTACAACACGGTAAAGTCAAGGCATGGTTTAGTTGTATGGATAACTAGTATATGCGGCCGTGCAAAACAAGTGCACCAGTTGTAATGAAAAATATCTCATTCTTTTTTAATTCAAGTAACAGGAAAGCAGTTAGCTTTGTGTTGGCAATTTGTACATATTTGCTACAAAAGATGTATCTTGAAGATATTTATCTATATGCCAAATTATTTCATTTTAAAGATAAAATTATATATTTATTTCAAATTTTATAAAAATTATCAATTTATTCTTTGTCTTTTTGTATGATTTTTATATGTAATGTTAGTTTGTAGATTTAACTTATTTATTTGGCTTACTTATTCTTGATAAACCAAGTTGATTTCATACCAATTAGAAGGGGTTATTGTTTCAGTAATGTATCGATTTTGTGATAGATATTTACAGGCTAAATATACAACTCTGTATGCTTATGCGTTCTCAAACTAAAATAATTCAAATGTATGCGATTCTATATGTGTGTTGTTTTATAAGCCGCATAGATACAAACTCGAGATATTGGCTATGATCACTAATTTATTGTGACACGGACTCCCGCTTCAGTGTTGATACGTAAGCGATCTAGATCATAATATATTTTAGGATTTATGGAATTACTCCCACTCTGGTGGCTGAAAAAAAGTTTTACATTCTGTATTCATAACTAGTCTGCTCGGCGCATGAAATAAAAGACACCTACAGTAGAATTTATTTTGGCGTTTATCAAGCCTACATGGAAAATTATTCGAATAAAATTCTGTCCTATAGCATAATGTTAAACATATTGCTTCATTTAAATTATGATAGGCACTGTTTAAGACACAAATATCGTAACTTTCTTGGGCAGTCGTTATGAATTCCGTTGTGAAGCAGAATTCATCAAGCTCCTTCATATTTCAGTGGTATATGAAACCATTTTTGCTAAAATCTTTGTAAGACTTGTAAAAATTGGATAAGAAAAGTGAATTGTATATTTTCCAAAGCAAGAATTACCATCTTATTATTACCTATCAACATGACCTGTTTTTATTTGTCCAAGTAACAAACTATAGCGTTATTTATTAACTGAAATTGTTAGGTAAGGGTGGATGATATTAATGTCTGACGTCTAAGTGAGGAAAGCTGACTTTTATTTCACGGAACATGGGAAATACCCACTAAATACAGTTTGCTAACAGTAGTGATTTAATTCTTTTAGACCGTTCATTAGTATCTAAAACATTTTTCATTGGTATGTTCGGCAACTAAGTCAAATTATTTAATTTATTAAATTTTGTCTAACAAAATGGTTGGTGTTTATAATAGTCAGTAGTAATATAGTTTGACTAGTAGCAGGTCGACTTATAAAGGAACTAAAGGGACTTATTTCAGTCACCGAAAGTTCATAAACCAGTTATCTCAAAGACACATAGTGAACTTAGTAAATGTGCCAAGTTTGCTTTATCCTAATACTATACCAAAATAATAAGGCCGTTCCACCATAATATACACAATGCGATAAAAAACTCTCGATATCAAACGCTGGAAAAAAGTAACAGTAGTAAGCTATGATGTGACAAATTTCTAGATTCTACTAATGGTTTACTAAAGAATGATCATAAACCATCAATCGTACGTCCACTTGAATTATTAGTTGAAATTTCTCTTCAAAATCAAAAACATGCTGTGTGTCTCCATGATGTGTATTCAATGTTTATTGTACATTTATCAGATAAACCATGATGTACTACTACTAAGTATAAATGAAAGTTTATCTTTCTTGAATATAATTACGTGTTTAATTATGTTGCACCTCCATGGTTATTGTAATCTTTTGTCTAGGTTACAGGATGTTCACAAAATCGCTAAAGTTCAGGAGGTCAATGCAGAATTAAGAGTAAGTTGAAGAATTTACCTTCAGGAAAGCTAAAAACTAAAATCTTACTTGCCTTCAAAGTGCTTCTTAACATGACTGTGTTTATGTGCATGTGTTTCAATTGCCTTGAAATGTATATTTATTTTAGTCGATTATTTTTAGTTTCCTCTTATTCAAGCGATTCTTTTAACGTACTATTTTTTTATTTCGTAGTTCCATCGCCGAATATAGGTATTTTGAGGCTGTCTTGCATTATGAACAAATGATTTCAAATTTAATTCCAAAACCAGAATTAGTATTATTTCACAAAGAATACCTGATTTTTAGAAGCTGCAAAATAAATAACTGATGAAAACATAAACGCAAAATGTCAGTACTATATGAAAAACTAATATCATTAATTAATCATTGCACAGTAATCAGTGCCACATTTAACTAGTTCTTATTGGTGATTGGATTCTGTCTACGATGGTGTGGTCGGCGTACTTAGCAGTCATGATCAGATTTCAAAAAGCAGATTTTCGATACTAGGAATGACATCATATTTATGTAATTTTAAATACACAATTAGGTCTACACATGTTAAACAAAATTATATCACGTTAAGTGAATCATTCTAACGCACCTGCATATTATCGTACCAAATGTCATTCACATGACCCTGACGTAAAATTATTTGTTTTAAAACCAATTCTTCATTACATGACATGCATTTGTTATCATAGTAGGCTTTGAAAAAAGCATCTTAGTTCGGGAGTATGACTTTCTCTCTACCGACTTATTCATATGATATGATACAAATACCACATAATTTTCAATTTGTTACACAACACCTTCCAATCATTTTGACACATTAATCATATATATTGATGATGTGGAATCAATGTCCTGTATTGAAGATCAGAGTCAATTATCTGTTTTAGACTCCTTTTTCTCAGTACAAAACCTTTGATATCTTTTAGAAATCTCTTTATCGAAAATCGATTTAGAAATTTATGTATAAACTGGATTCTCAAATTCATTTACGGTTTTGGAGGAACTTACATTTAATAAATTGGTAATTGGGTAACTAGACTAAAGGTTGTTACATAGTATTATTTGCGTTATATCTTGGTCCTGAAGGTAATTCTCTGCAACTGTCACAACCTGCTCTTTGCTGCACAGCTGAAAACTATAGAAATTATGCCCTCAATATTCTCAACCTAGCCATGAACTATTAAGAATTCGAACCGTGGTTGACGAAACCTATATTTTATGGAAAGAAACACGTACTATTTACAGATTTTCTTCTGAATAATCAGAAACTATATTTAAGGTATTATAACTTAAAACGAATTTTACACTAAATACATGTCATAACTGAGTGAAGTGATTATCTGAATACAACAAAATACAATACTAAAATAATTGATAGCTGAATTTATCGAAATTCAGTAAATTATCAAAGTGAATTCTTATTTTATTGAACTGATCTTTAGTCTTATTCTAGTCTGTTCTTAATCAAGTTAATTTAAGTAGATCAGTCGAGTAGGGTTCAGAATTCTTATAGCCGCTAGGTGAATCCAGATACGTAACTAATGAGGAAATGTCAACTAGATAAATTTTAAAAGATTTAAATATAACTTATAGATGAAATTTAGAGTTTTATGGTAGCAGTCATTTCATCGAAAGAAACCTGTCATTTTCTTCTGTAGAAGAGTTTCACGCAGTCTTTACAACACTGCCATCTAAAACCCTATTTTTCGCTTGAATGTACACATACATTTTAATTTATGCATAAATTATCAGTATTTTTCACTTGAAAAATCAATAAATTGTAATAAACAAAGAGGGTGGGTCGCTATTAAATTAGGTTTATTTGGAAACATTTCGTTCAAAGTGTAAAACTGTATGAAGACCCAGGTTTTATTCATGATTGTGTTTCAACGAATAAATAAGCTATCGTGCTATTTCAGACAATGTTTACTTTTTATAGAGAATAAAAAGTCTACGTAAACGATCAAGGGGAACTTTACACCCTCAAGGTAAACAAAGTTCTGATTTTGTTAACTTGGAAATGCAAACAATTGGCTCAGAAAGTGATCTGACAAACTCAAGTTGTGATCAAACGCCCAAGCCACGTCATCGTAGACTGACTAATGCGGTAAGTATTCAGGGATTTCATCAGTAATTAGTTACTCTTGTTATGTTTCTTACTTTTTTCATCCCTTCAACCGTGTTCTTATTTGGGGACTTTTCGAGTGAACTGGTGTCCAAGAATAAAAAGCAGCAGGAGTAGCTGGGTCGTATTAAGATCAGTTATAACAAAAACCGTCGACAAATATATTTCTCGTTCCCTTATTATTCATTTGACGTTTAATAATAAAATTCAATACAATTACCAAACTACTGTCAGAAATATGTTAACCGTCAACACAATGATGTTACTTAAATCTGCAAACTAATTTCATTGAAGATGATTTAAAATCAATGTGAGTTACTAGAGACGTTTGCTGAATTCATTGGTAAACAAAACAGGTGTTGAATCTGTAGTTTTATCAAATAGTTTTCCATGGACTATTTGAAGTACCATGACATCATTTACCTTCGGCTGAATTATAAATGGTGTATTATTGTGTAGTCGTGATTGATCATTGACTTTTTTCCCTTTAATGAATAATTATCAATCCAGTTAACTGATAAGAATGTACAACTTAATTCATCAGTCGGAAGCTTCCGTGACGTCATGTACATCTCATATTGAAATAATACTGTACTTTACAATTTCGTTGTATTTAAGAACAATGAAATCTATTTTAATCGTATGAATCGAACTGAGATATGAATCATGAATAGTAAGTAAACATAATGTTTAGAAACAATAAATCCTTTCATGTATCCCAGCAAAAGTCGAATTTTTCTGAAGTCACTAGGTATTAAATCTCAATAGTACCAGAAGTCAAGAGTCCACGAAATCTATCGAATAATAAACTCAGTCTTCAGAAAGTAACTGATGTTACCTTCCACATCTCACTACGTAACATTATTAGAATCAATGTCAGAAAATAATAACTATAGTTGTCTCAACCATATTCATTTAAGTTAGAAATAAGATAGATCGAATATTAGTTTTAAAGAATAACTAATAATTTCTGGAAATTGCATTCTGCTGATGATAGAAGTTATCTAATTGCAGCTTTACTTAATTAATGGAGTTAAAGACTGATGCTGCAAGGATTTTATGAACGATAGCTTTATTAAGTAGAGAAAACTATGAAGACTACTACCGAAAATATCCATTAGAACAAATCAATGTGAAACAGTTAGTAGTACTAATATGATAAGCCACTTTTCTACTCAAAAATTTTAGGGAGAATCCATTAGCTAACAAGAAATCAAAGATAAAACGTTATTCATGATGTCTGAACCTAAAGACTGTTTTTGCAACAATAAATAATCACTCTTGTTTCGAAGACCCTTTATCACATACATTTATCCCTTGTTCTTTGTTAACTTTCCTAATTCTGATAATATTGGTTGTCTGCTAGGATTACAGAATAAGTTATTTGTTTCTACTTTATTGTTTTTACTGTTAAAATTGCTTGACATATCATTTAGGAGAAATTTCTTAAGTAAAAAAGCGAAAAATACAATGATAAATTCAAAATAGGATGCGAATTTAAAAGTAATATCACTTTAGGTAACTGTTATACATTGAATAGAAAGTACGGTATTAAGGGTTAACATTTGCCAGCTTTTGGCTTTAAATGAAAATAAGTTTTTGTTTTTTACTAACAGTAACGTAATTAGAAAAATAAGAGTTGAACCAAGATTCTTTCGGTCTATTTTGTTCAGAATTGATAAAAACTTATGGAAATATGCAATCTGATCTCTAGGTAATGAGAGGTGCTTCCGTTGATCATTTCTGAATTCCATACAATTATAATTTTCATAAAAAATCTATACTTTGCTGTTAGGTATGCAGAGGAATATGCCAATAATTATCGTGTTAAGTCGAATGGTGTCCTTGAACGTTAAATGGACATTTCCCATTGGTCGATGTTTGTTTCACTTGTTAAATATTGTGTAAATGTTGTTTTCTATTTTGCGGTACGATGTGGTTTGTTTGGTTAGTATATAAATAGAGTATGTCTGAAATACAATGACTCATAACTCAGAGGCTGTGACTTACGTTCTAGACTCAACTGGCTGGGTTGGACAGGGAGGCAGGGCCAATCAGGGCACTAGGTCGTCCATACGTGTTTTCCGTGTTACTGTGATCGATCGATAAAACGCTGCTTATCATAACCTGCAGTCTCACCCGTTACAACATTTGCATAGAGATTTTATTAAATAGACTTTTAAATATTATTGTTAATATTCTTAATAAAAATAATAAAATATTATACAATCAACTGTCACGATAATTGGACGTTATTTTCATTGTACAACTAGATCTCGGTTGTCAGTCAACTCACTACATTACATAGATTTTTTTTTAAATATTTTATAGGCATCTTTAAATCTTGTTTGAAATTATCTTAGAATTTTTCATTAGCATCTCTTCAGCTATTTAAATAAATTTTAATGAGAATTATTTGTTAGATATTGATTAATTTATAATAATGATCCATCTATATTTACTTTGTAACGACTCAGTCAAATATGTTTGTGTAGAAATAATGATTAATTTTTAACTTACGTAGCAAGAATAAAAGTTCTGTTTTATTAAAGTTAGATTTGTAGCATTGAAATCTTATTAATTAAAATTATAATGCACATATTAATACATTTATTGTGTAGAAATATTTTGGTAGACAAATGTAATCAGTTCTCTAAACGAAAATTTCAATTTTAAGCAATAATATTGAGTTTATTCTTTACTTTTTAAAAGTTACAGTAAAACATAATATCTGAATTGTTGATTGTTAAAAATAATTGATTTTATTAATTTATAGTTCTAGACATTTATCTCAAGAGTTTTCACAATATAATTGAAAATTTCATTTCATGGTTTTAATATATGCTCTAGTGAATTTACTCATTTATTTATTCAGAACATACTGAACAGAATCTAATATATTTCCTTTGTTCCATTGTTTCTCAAATAGATTCAACGTGCAGGAGATGCAATGCTTTCTATTATGTATCAAATGGCATTGGATAAAAAAGAAAGTTTAAGAGTTTTGAATGCTCAAATGAGTCCTGCTTACTGTGAGTCAGAATGGGGAAACTATGATAATGATACGCATTTAGTATATGATAATCCATCTTATGAAGACGATGCTACAACAAATGTTATGATACGCAAGTACGTTTCTCATTTAATTTGGTGGTTAACATACAGAGTGTTTTAAACACAGAACTACAATGATCGTATATTCATTTCTATTAAATGACTGGAAAAGGAGTTAAAGTAAATATATTACCGTACTCATGATACACTATAAAATCAGAAATTGAATACCATTCGTATTTGAGACCGTCATATAACCTGCAGAGCAGCAATAAAGATATTTTCAGATGTTTTTCATTTTTTAGGTCTTCATATAAGTCAAAGACCGATTAAAAATACGTAAGACTCGACAAGAGTTTTGTATTATTATGGCAGTTCTAATTAGTTTGACCACGGATCGGATCTCGGAGATTTAGGCTTTACAGAAGGCGTGTTAAATTTAGTTCACATTGTTGAAATTTAGTGGTCTACATTACTCATTTTAAGAATATACAAAACTTACCCTAGCACAATGCGTTAATATTCATAATGCATTTTACATTCTTAACATAAATGAATTAGATAATTCATGCAGACTCCTTACTCCCATAGTCAGAGACACCAGAGATTGGAGTGAATGCAGGCTAACAAATTGTAGCACAAATGAATCTGAATCAGCAGATTATCCAAATATAGAACAGCGTCACTTTTTGAAGTGTTTAGTGCCGATTAAATGGAGGTACTAGTTTATCTTCTGACAAATTGTCCTACAATTTGCTTATAATGTACTTTCAATGATTAAAAATATACTATAGTTTCTAGTGGTTACTGTTTCCCAGATTTGTGGTATTCTTTCAATCTGGACAAAAAGCTTAGCAAACAAAGGAGTAACTTAGAAGGCAGTAGAATAATTTAAATTTGACGGAATTTGATAAAGAATAAACAAACTTTTAGGTATTGAAAGTAATTATAGGTTTACAGATCAACCAAAATTTATCGAGTAATGAAAAACGCATCACATTGTATTATCAAACACTAGAGACTGACAACATTGGAACTTTGCCTGTGTATGTTCAGATCTATATTCAATAAATTATTTGGACCACGCCGTGCTATGGTAGCTTATACTTCTTTTTAGACCTACTTTTGTGTTAATCCTCGTTATACATGGTTTGTCCGATAAATATTCAAAATGGGCCATAAAAGTGTTGTAAATTAACATTATACCCTTTTAAATACCACTTGCTAATTGTATAGATTTGTGTCATTCTCCCTTCTGTTGTTCAAAATATTCCTGAAAGTCATTAAAAGTCATCCTGTTCATCTGTCTTGCCGTCAAATAGTTTCCTCAACTCTAAATTTTGTCTTATAACTGTGTCCTTGAATAATTTTCTCAAATTTATTTCAGAATCAGTTATTAGGTCAGTAAAACGACGATTAGAAACCTCAAGTAACTACTTACGTCCATAAATGATCATTCTGTTAGTGGATCATAATCGTAGTCTTCATAGTTTTCAGTTGAATGTTGTTTCCCTAAATGATTTGTACCTAAACATCCGTCTATATTTCAAACATTTCCTGACAGTTTCGCCAAAATCCCTTGAAAGTGTACTACTGTATGTATGTTTTGACAAACGATCATTATACATCCTTAACATATGACCTTGCAACGCAACTTAGAAAATCTTTTTGCAAACTGGATTATGAAGACCTCCGCATCCAAGGGGAAGCACGGAATACAATGGACAACCTGGATGCAACCAGACGATTCGGACTTTGCAGATGTCCTAGCTCTTCTATTCCATACACACGAACAAATGCAGATGAAGACAATCAGTTTAGCCGCAGCCTCTGCAGCAATAGGCCTCAACATACACAAGGCAAAAAGCAACATCCTCAAATACAACACACAGGACACCAACCCAATCTCACTTGATGGAGGAGCTCTGGAAGAGGTGGAAATTATCACGTATCTGGGTAGCACCATCGATGAACAAGGAGGATCCGATGCAGGTATGCAGGTGAGGATTGGCAAAGCAACAGCCGCACTCCTACAATTGAAGAACATATGGAACTCAAAACAACTGTCAACCAATATCAAAGTGAGAATCTTCAATACGAACGTAAAGACAGTTCTACTGTACGGAGCTGAAACTTCGGGAACTACCACAACCGTCATCAAGAAAGTACAGGTATTTATAAAGAATTGTCTTCGTAAGATACCGAATGTCCGTTGGTCGGATACCATCAGCAACGAACTACAGTGGTAGAGAACAAAGCAACTTCCAACTGAAGAGGGAATTAGGAAAAGACACTGGAGGTGGACAGGACATATATTGAGGAAATCGTCCAGTTGAATCACGAGGAAAGCCCTGACTTAGAGTCATGAAGGTAAATAGAAAGGAGGAAGATTGACGAACAGATTGCGTCGAGAATTCGAAGCAGACATGAAAAGAATGAAACATTGCGTTACTAAAAAATACAATGTACTATATAGTATATTAAATTTTTTACTTATTTCAAAATCGAATAACATATCAAACTCAATCGAAACCTTTTCAGATATTTTTGCTAAACATAATTTTATTTGCACATGCATTCAAATAATTCAAATGAAACATTCAAGCCAGTAATAAAAATTATATGATGTTTGAAAGATCAGTTTTCAGTTTTCCCCGAGTTGTATTTTAGGACTTATGTTCTTTAGATTTTTAATGTCTAGTAAGCAATATCGTTTCACAGTAATTTTACCACTAAACTTTCAAAGTAAACATTTCTAAAGTTCTGCTTTATTATTTTGAAGGATTAGTACAATTTAACATTTCAGTATGATGTGTGTTTAAATTAAAAAATAAACACTCGGCTTTACTCACAATAAAGACATCAGCAAATATTCTTAAAGGTAAATTATTAAAATGCTAAGAGAATCTGATGATTATTTTTGATATCCCTACATTTGTTTTAAGGTTCTATGGAACCGTAAAAGTATTCTCTTGTTAATGAGAAAAACATTTCAAAGTTGTTTTATGAAATCAGCTTGCACTAGTTGTATTTAAAATTTATAGATAATGATAATTTTGGTATTTTCACCATAACTATAAAAACGTGCATAGAACACCACCTATAAAATGTTTTTTTCAGCCTATCGGAGATAAGTAACAACAATCAATTCATAATTCATTAAAATTTAATACAAATACTCCAGTTGAGACTATAATTTATTGGCAACCTTTTTGCAACGCCAAAGTGACATTGAGAAAATTCACCTAAATACTAGGGTCTAAAGGGAACTACCAATTAGTGTGAGAAATCAGAAGTTGGAAATTAGAATCAGGGTTTTGAGATGGTGGAGAAGATTTGTAGCTCTGATGGATGATTTTGATAACCGATCAACATCGAGGTCTACAAGACGAGCTGTGAGCTATATATGGAGAAATTCGAACACTTCACTTCTGCCTAAAGTTTGGGCTGATGATGTCGTTCAAATCACGATGGAAGCTCTACGACCAAACCATACAGCTCGGAGAACAAAACTCCATCAGAATCAGGGTTTTCCTCACGAAGTGACATCAGCTATAACAGTGAAATGATATTTCATCATATGGATACAGGGATTTCATGACACAACACATGACTCTCTATCTTGAATCTGATTGCTTAGTCAATTAATTTTAGTCACGCCACATCCCATCTTACTGACTTGTAATATTGTTCAATATTTCTACCTAAAGCATAAATTAGTGATAAATAATAAAAATGACATTTACGGTTCTTGACCTTTTTAAACTTTAACTGGAATGTGGACTGACAAAAACTCGTAATTATAATATCGACAGGTTATAACAATTGGTGTTGAGATTTCGTAAGCTAAACTTGATGGTAAGGAATAGATTTCTGTCCTTATTAAGGAGTTAGAATGCATAAATATTAGTGATGGACTATGCGTAAAACGTTTGGTTTTTACAGTTTATTACTAAGCGTTAACAACTTTACTAATGCTTAGTAACATTCTTGTTTTCAACATATCTGGCTTGAACAAAAGGCAACTAGAAATGAGATGTATATAAAAACCAATCTTTTATCACTTACATTCATTCAATTACAAGTCATATGACTAGAATCAACATTGCTAACTACGTGAGCATGTCTTTCGTAATAGAATTATGAAGTACAAACCAAGAGCTTATAGTAGGATGCTTATAAAAGCAATCAAAATAAATCTGTTGTAATGAATAATTCAAGAGTTTCTGACAGTGATCAGATATTGATTTCTATAGATTTTGATTGATTGCATGTATTTTGACCAATTATTTAATGACACACTTTATGATCCGTCTTTAATAGTAATATACTTGATTATTTCAAATTGCAACAAAATACTCAACCTTTTAACAGTTTTTGTAAAAATAATTGCTAATCGTTAAATTTATTATAATTACGAAGAGAACAGTAGGGAGAATAATGTCAGTAGGACAGTAAGAATCAGCGATGTAGCGATGTAGTTGATTACAAAGAAGTATCAACTAGAGTTAATTTAATAGGAGAGAAAAAAGAATTAGAAGGCTGAAACGAAGGTAAGTTAATCAAATGAGCACTTGCAGCATGAAAGTTTATTCGCGTTGTCAGGTGCAAAAACAATTTACCATGTACTACATTAATAATAAAGATTTGTTATTTACATATAATATCTAAATCAATAAATGACTAAATGATTTGTATTGGCGACCGGGCTACCGAGGATAGTCAAGGTTAGAAATATTTGACTAGCTAAGATGTCAAGATATAGCATTACAGTCAATGAATTTATTGATTATCCTGGAGCCTTGTGGTTTGAATCTAATCACATAACACGTTTCTCCAAAATCTCAGTCATTAACACTTTACTGAAGAATTTCTTAATGTTGTTATCTGCGTAAATTTAGATGTTACTTATATTTTTTTTAATTGCTTAAAAATTATAAACCTAAACATTGAGGAAGAGATTTACTTATTATTCAGAACACAATGCTTGTTTCTATACTGAAATTCTTATCTTCTAGGAGCAAAAATGTCAGTGATTATTTACAATGCTGCATTCTTGAAATCACCAAGAAAAAACTTAAGAAGTCACTGGATGAGTTTTATAAAAGATTTGCTTAAAGAATATGTTTAAATAACAAAAATGGAGAGAATGGAGATAAATCTCTTCTCAAATTAGTAAACCATATGCATTTCTAAACACACTTTGCTGTAAAATCTTGGGCACTGTTAGGACTGTAATTGATTATCTTAAACGAATAATACGTATCGCTTGAGTTATAATTGCTGTTTGTATTTGCAGTGCAATTTATTAACTTGGAATACATCTTTTATCAGACACTGTGATTCAACAAAGCATAAAAGAACGTTACTAAAGTATCCTTAGCATGTAGTTAAAATATTGTATAATTACTTGAGGTCAAATTCATTCTATAGAGTGTAGTCGTATTTCATATAACAGGCAACTATTTCTCACTTAAAAACATTTTAATACGGTTAATCAATTAAATTTATAAATGACTGGACTGTAATAGATCGATTATGAGTCTGTTGAATTTCTTTATATGTAGTAGTCTTACTAGATAAATTAGCTTTCTGTTTTACCATATACAACTCAATCGATATGGAATGTAAAGAATAAACGTAGGCATTTCAATAACTAATGTTGAAGAGTGAAGAACAGAAAAAGTCATAATGGCACTTGTGATAAAGGTCTACATGTAATTCATTACGTACATTATCCAAGTGAATATTAGATTTATTCAACTATTTCATTATCGAACAGATAATTAATAAATCGTTATGCCACCGGATTTCGATCTTGTAAAGTTGCATATTGGGAAGTGAAACATCAGACTAAACTAAAACTGATTTTATTTCAAAATGTATCATTAAGTGAAGCTGAGAACAATGTATTTCACAATGATTATAAGTTTAAAAATATCACTTAAGTTAATACACCTTTATTGAGCTGCTGTTCAAGTATTTAATACTTTTCTTGGATTCTTTGTAAGCACTTGTTTTGGCTTTGGTCTTAAAACCAAGAGTTTTATCTACCAGGTATATCATGCTATAACTTATGTAAAATAATCAGATCATAAGAACAATTCCGTTACGAAGCTTCCATTATTGACTAATAATTTTATTAACTATATTATTTATTAACACTAGCTTATTAGTGAAATATTCAGTAATAAACTTGTAAATTTGTTGAAGTATCTAAAAAGCGGCTGGTTCTGACTTTCCACACCCAGAGGTACTTATGATTCAAATTGCTAGTTAATCGATTTGACGGATCAGGTAAAGGATGTAAATCAAAGCCTATTAACACAGACATCGCAGCCAAAAATAATCATATTTCTTAATCGATTTGTAATGCCTTGTAAAGAATAAAATAGTTCCTACAATACCAAAATTATAGGAATACTTTTTTCTTGACATTACGAAAATCAGGAAACGACCACTAGAAATTCAGATATAAAAATAAGCAGTGCGAACAACTTTTCTGCCTTTCTCAGGAACCGAAACACAGATATGCATATAGGCGTCTGGATATGATGTAGGGTATTGTTGGCTAAAATATAAAAATGAGCCTTAAACCGTTCAGTATGTGTTTTACATCTACATAACAACGCATGTTAATTACTTAGATACTAACACCTGTTACACCTTATAGAAAAAACCTAGGCCATCAACCGGTAGTCGTCATCCAACTCCATCATGGACAATCCTTTCCAGTTCTTCCAGATTCTATTCATTCTTTTCATGTCTGCTTCTAATTCTCGACGCAATCTGTTCGTCAATCTTCCTCCTTTCTATTTACCTTCATGACTCTAAGTCAGGGCTTTCCTCGTGGTTCAACTGGACGATTTCCTCAATGTATGTCCTGTCCACCTCCAGTGTCTTTTCCTAATTCCCTCTTCAGTTGGAAGTTGCTTTGTTCTCTACCACAGTAGTTCGTTGCTGATGGTATCCGACCAACGGACATTCGGTATCTTACGAAGACAATTCTTTATAAATACCTGTACTTTCTTGATGACGGTTGTGGTAGTTCCCGAAGTTTCAGCTCCGTACAGTAGAACTGTCTTTACGTTCGTATTGAAGATTCTCACTTTGATATTGGTTGACAGTTGTTTTGAGTTCCATATGTTCTTCAATTGTAGGAGTGCGGCTGTTGCTTTGCCAATCCTCACCTGCATACCTGCATCGGATCCTCCTTGTTCATCGATGGTGCTACCCAGATACGTGATAATTTCCACCTCTTCCAGAGCTCCTCCATCAAGTGAGATTGGGTTGGTGTCCTGTGTGTTGTATTTGAGGATGTTGCTTTTTGCCTTGTGTATGCTGAGGCCTACTGCTACAGAGGCTGCTGCTACACTGATTGTCTTCATCTTCATTTGTTCGTGTGTATGGAATAGAAGAGCTAGGACATCTGCAAAGTCCGAATCGTCTGGTTGCATCCAGGTTGTCCATTGTATTCCGTGCTTCCCCTTGGATGCGGAGGTCTTCATAATCAAGTCAACCTCCGGAAGGAAGAAATAGGTGGGATGAGGATAGTGAATGTCTTACTCTATAATATTGTTTGACTAATTAATTAGTTATTCATTAATAAATATCCTTAATTAAAAACTGATCTCTTTTAAATGCTAGTTATTTGACAGTCAAGTGAGAAATATACTAGGTGCTTCTCTAGGATTGAGAAACACGTTCAATTATCAAAGCTCTCTCCCTTAACAGTATCATAGATTCTTCGTAGTCTACTGCATATATTTAAATCTCATTTAATTAATACTCAGATGTCTTTATTATCAAGATAATCCAGATTGTTATCATACAAAATTGTTTTCATTAATTTAAAGAGAATTGGCCTCGCTGGAAGAGCTTTCACAAGCCGGTCAAAGATGCACTTGGATTGGACAAGATTATGTCAACTGGAGTTTAGTTGAACCAACTGCCAAAGAGCATCCAGCATTGGGTTAGTAATAAAATTTGATATACATACGATTGACTTCAAAGAACTATATTTCCCTCACTCTTTATCTTTGGAATTTAGTTTTCTATACTTGAAACATATTCAAAATAATGTAGATCAGTTTGTCAGTTTTGTTTTCTATACTTTAAAATGTGTATCCTACGGTTTACATATCATGATTAAATAGTCAGAGAAATCAAATTTTAATCGCTAAACCCTACCATTTTCAGGTTATGTTGTATCTAAAAAAGATTGAATCAATGGTACGACTCGGAAGTTATTTATAGACGGTTATTATATGCATATTGTACAACTATTGAGTAACAAGATTACGTATCAGTATGGATATTTGTAGAGATTGTAGTATTTTAACAGCGAAATTTACAAGTCGATGCTAGCTAGTTCATTAGTGAAAAACTAGAAGCACTGGACAGCCATTTCATCCTACTATGGGAATCCTCAGAAATGCGCGTCTACGATCCTACATATTTATATTTAATTTATCATAAGATTTTCTTTGACTTAATAGCTCCAATTATACTACTAAATCACTATTAACAATTTATTTCTTATCTATTGGTTACAGTCTCACATACAGTCCCATATCAGTAGATTATTCATATAGTAAACAGCGTCACTTTTTGAAGTGTTTAGTGCCGATTAAATGGAGGTACTAGTTTATCTTCTGACAAATTGTCCTACAATTTGCTTATAATGTACTTTCAATGATTAAAAATATACTATAGTTTCTAGTGGTTACTGTTTCCCAGATTTGTGGTATTCTTTCAATCTGGACAAAAAGCTTAGCAAACAAAGGAGTAACTTAGAAGGCAGTAGAATAATTTAAATTTGACGGAATTTGATAAAGAATAAACAAACTTTTAGGTATTGAAAGTAATTATAGGTTTACAGATCAACCAAAATTTATCGAGTAATGAAAAACTCATCACATTGTATTATCAAACACTAGAGACTGACAACATTGTGAACTTTGCCTGTGTATGTTCAGATCTATATTCAATAAATTATTTGGACCACGCCGTGCTATGGTAGCTTATACTTCTTTTTAGACCTACTTTTGTGTTAATCCTCGTTATACATGGTTTGTCCGATAAATATTCAAAATGGGCCATAAAAGTGTTGTAAATTAACATTATACCCTTTTAAATACCACTTGCTAATTGTATAGATTTGTGTCATTCTCCCTTCTGTTGTTCAAAATATTCCTGAAAGTCATTAAAAGTCATCCTGTTCATCTGTCTTGCCGTCAAATAGTTTCCTCAACTCTAAATTTTGTCTTATAACTGTGTCCTTGAATAATTTTCTCAAATTTATTTCAGAATCAGTTATTAGGTCAGTAAAACGACGATTAGAAACCTCAAGTAACTACTTACGTCCATAAATGATCATTCTGTTAGTGGATCATAATCGTAGTCTTCATAGTTTTCAGTTGAATGTTGTTTCCCTAAATGATTTGTACCTAAACATCCGTCTATATTTCAAACATTTCCTGACAGTTTCGCCAAAATCCCTTGAAAGTGTACTACTGTATGTATGTTTTGACAAACGATCATTATACATCCTTAACATATGACCTTGCAACGCAACTTAGAAAATCTTTTTGCAAACTGGATTATGAAGACCTCCGCATCCAAGGGGAAGCACGGAATACAATGGACAACCTGGATGCAACCAGACGATTCGGACTTTGCAGATGTCCTAGCTCTTCTATTCCATACACACGAACAAATGCAGATGAAGACAATCAGTTTAGCAGCAGCCTCTGCAGCAATAGGCCTCAACATACACAAGGCAAAAAGCAACATCCTCAAATACAACACACAGGACACCAACCCAATCTCACTTGATGGAGGAGCTCTGGAAGAGGTGGAAATTATCACGTATCTGGGTAGCACCATCGATGAACAAGGAGGATCCGATGCAGGTATGCAGGTGAGGATTGGCAAAGCAACAGCCGCACTCCTACAATTGAAGAACATATGGAACTCAAAACAACTGTCAACCAATATCAAAGTGAGAATCTTCAATACGAACGTAAAGACAGTTCTACTGTACGGAGCTGAAACTTCGGGAACTACCACAACCGTCATCAAGAAAGTACAGGTATTTATAAAGAATTGTCTTCGTAAGATACCGAATGTCCGTTGGTCGGATACCATCAGCAACGAACTAAAGTGGTAGAGAACAAAGCAACTTCCAACTGAAGAGGGAATTAGGAAAAGACACTGGAGGTGGACAGGACATATATTGAGGAAATCGTCCAGTTGAATCACGAGGAAAGCCCTGACTTAGAGTCATGAAGGTAAATAGAAAGGAGGAAGATTGACGAACAGATTGCGTCGAGAATTCGAAGCAGACATGAAAAGAATGAATAGGATCTGGAATAACTGGAAAGGATTGTCCATGATGGAGTTGGATGACGACTACTGGTGTATGGCTTACCCTCTTCCATCATGTTTAACAGACGTTCGTATGTATGTAGGCTTATGTTGTTTTCTGTTCCAGAATTTGCTGGCCTTGTCTTCGAGGTACTCTTATGAAATCAATGAATGACTCATGTTTGAATAATTGCTGCCAATACTAGGTAAAATATTATTTGTGTTGCTCAGTTTTAAGTTTTTGGAAGGCAGTAATTTGACTGGCTATTTCGTTGCGTATTTTTTACAGAGCTGTATGTCATGACGTTTTATCTGATATGGAATTCAGTTTTAGAACTGCTGGTATGGTTAGGAAACGGCGTAACGTAGTTACTAAACGTTGCCATTTTTTTCATGTAATTGACAGTATATATGCTTTCACAGCTATTTGCCTAATACTGAGTAATTTTTGGATAAATGCAAGATTATAAGTAGAAGCGATCTGACCTTTGTGTTTAAGAGGGATATAGTGAAACCAGTTTTTCACCTGAACCTATAATATGGTTATCTCATTCGTAATCCTATTTTCTCAGCATTTATCATAAAATTGCCCCTCTCCTTTTATCAAGATTTTTTACACTTTACGTAATGTATTTACTAATTATTGTTGTTATCATCGTTATCATCACAATAGCTATAACACAACATTTCCTACTACAATTTTCACGAACAATGTTATTCCAATGACTAGAACTCATCAACTCATAAAGTATTACTTTTTATTCTCTCTTAATATATAACCTTTTTAACTCAACCAACAATGTTTTTGGTTAGAAGTTAGAGCTTAATCGACGTACAATACATTTATTTCAAACCACATCATCAGCTAATGTTATTTATGAATATGGCATATCTGACGTTTACATGAGAATTCAGTTAACTATTTTTACCAATGAGAAACACGTCATCACATAAATAAACAAATATTTATTATTCTTTAAAATTAACAATAAACTTATTTGGTATTTTCATTTGCAGATTTAGTAGATAGAACATGCGTTCCACGTATGCCATGGCATGATGTTGGCTGTGTGTTTGTTGGTACTGCTGCCTGTGACATATCTAGACACTTTATTCAACGCTGGAATCAAATACGAGTAAGTTATACCATATTACTTAGATTCAGAAAAATTGTGTACTACTTAAGTTATAGTTATCTTAGTATAATATGTTATTAATTAATTTGGATTAACAAAATAAAAAACCTTAAGTAAATATCTTTGTGGTACTTTAACGTTTTTGCCAGTTTTTTTCAATGCGTTAAGTGTCTACTTCAGGTTGTTACACAAGTATACTTTTCAGTACATTAAAGATAACATAAAAATATGCAAAAATATTCACATTATATTATTATTTAATCAATAAAATACCATTGGTATCAGAAGATTTTAAAAAAGAAGTGAACTCCGTAGATGAAAAGATATTTTTATAGTGAGTTATTACAATAAATATTATAATGCAAATAAATATTTTTTCCATGTTTGCATATTAATGTGTGAATACTTACTTACTTAATTACTCCTGTTACTCCCAATGGAGCATAGGCCGCCGACCAGCATTCTCCAACCCACTCTGTCCTGGGCCTTCCTTTCTCGTTCTATCCAATTTTTGTTCATTTTTCTCATGTCTGTCTCCATTTCTCGACGTAATATGTTCTTTCCCCTTCCTTTCCTTTGGCCTTGAGGATTCCGCAGTTGGGTGCTTTCCTCAATGCGTGTCCTATCCACTTCCAGCACTTCTTCCTTATTTCTTCCTCCGCTGGGATCTAGTTTGTTCTCTCCCATAGTAGATTTTTGCTGACAGTGTCTGGCCAACGGATCTGAAGTATTTTGCGTAGACAGCTATTAATAAACACTTCTATCTTCTGAATGATGGCTTTCGTAGTTCTCCAGGTTTCCGCCCCATACAGTAGAACTGTCATGACATTCGTATTGGAAATTCTGACTTTTGTGTTGGTTGACGGTTGTTTCGAGTTTCAGATGTTCTTCAGTTGTAGACATGCTGCTCTTGCTTTTCTGATCCACGCCTCCACATCTGCATCAGATCCACCGTGTTCATCAATGATGCTGCCCACATATGTAAAGGTTTTTACATCTTCCAAATCTTCTCCGTCAAGTGTGATTGGATTGGTGCATGCTGTGTTGTACGGAGAACCTTGGTTTTCCCTTTGTTTATGTTGAAACTTATTGCTGCTGAAGCTGCTGCTACAATGATGGTCTTCTCCTGCATTTATTGTTGCGTTTGCGATAGAAGAGCCAGACCATCTGCGAAAATTCATTAAAAAATCATAACAAATTTTGTAATAGCTTTACAGTATTAGTTAAATTTAAAAGAAAAACTGGTTGTAATCATATTTTTGTTGGAAACTAATTTACCTTACAGTTGTATTCCAAATGTTTCATTACATTATATTACCTTTATACTCAATTTTGATTAGAATAGATGGATTGGTTGAAATCATCTTAAATTCGTAATTAATTAATTAGTTATATTTAACTGATATGAGTTAAATCTTATTTCTTTATTTCGATTTAACAATCACATTACTGATGATGAATTATTGTATGGTATTTAAATGTATGTAGATGATAAACAATTTATATAAATCATATTGATTTCTAGTTTATTTTTCTTTGTACAATAAGTATAAGGTATCTTTGAGTGCATCTTTATTTCACAGATCAATAATCTACATGCGTACGTACATCGGCTAATTAAAAACTTCTCTATTGCTTCGAATATTTTTAGCGATATTACTATGGACATAAAACACATTACATTGGCATTTTACGAATTAAAATTCTGATTAAATAACAGAAGAAAAAAGTCATCACGCTACACAATTTTGTTGAAAAAGGTTTTTTAAAACGACTTCAATGTGATAATATTCTATAATGAATTTTGTTCTAGAAAACTGTTGATAGAGCTTTTAATAGAACTCAATAAAAAAAATTATATTCATAGGGGTATGTTCAGAAACCACAAACAGGTGGACTGAGTAAATATTTGCATATCATCTATAATAAATTGCAAGCTTTACATATTAGTATTTTTTCTAATTTCTCAATGTAAATTTCACTATGATTGAAATTGATTTACGATAAGTACCTGCAATCTTACATGAACTGTTACTAGTTGAAGGGTTTGCCTGAACCATAAACCTAGACAACATGACAGTGGTAATGCTCCAAATTATTCATGCTAAATTCAAGATATCTGAGTGTCAAAAACTAGTATGTGCACTTCCTCAGAAAATATATAAATATGGAATACCGTTTTGGGATTAGCAAATTCGAACTGTTTAATAAGTATGATTGTATGGAGTTTTTGATTTTAGTAAAACATTTCAATTTGATCAAATTATTGAGCTCTACATATAATATTAGTGATCATCGACTGAAAGTCACTAAAATTCATTTCTACCATTTCAAATAAGCGTAATGAATGTATTTTCATTGAGTAAAGAAGTGTTATAATCTTATTCTTTTTGTTCCAGTATGTTGACATTTTAGTACCATTGTAATATTGAATTACTATTATTAGCTCAAGCTGAATATTTGTATATTTTTTTCAACTAGACTCAAAAGCCTTTTAATGAACAGATACTTCAATTTGTTGCTGGTCAAAACGCGTTACATTTATCTTATCAGTGAATTTTTTTCAATTAATGATTAACCACATTTAACTCCATCAATAATGATGTTGATGAAACGTATATTCTGAATAACTTCGCATATGTTCTTCGACTTAAACTGTTGATAAAATTGCCATATTGAAGTTAAAAATACATGTGTTTAAAATGAGCATATTCTGCACGGTCATATGAACAGCAATACAATAAGAGCGGTTAGTATATGTGCTTTTCCAAATTGGCATACTAGTCAAAATTAATGTTGGGTCTGCTGAATAAATCATAGAATCACAAAACAGTTGATTAGGTTAGTAATAAACAGATAAATACATGGTAACTAGCAAACATACATCAATAAAACTCTCATCACACTGGTCATATGAGAAATCATAAATTAAAATTCAAGAAAACTACCAATGACACGTTTACTGATCAAGCTTGTACGGAAAAAGTATTCCATTGGGCTGTGATATGAACTACTATAGAATCTAATATTTTTTTAGGATTCTGTTCATGTTATTTTATTTTTTGATTGTATCATCGAATAGATCAAGTCGTTAGTGTACGAAACAGAGTTGTACAAAATCTTCTTCGGTGGTTAACTTAACGAATATCTTAATTTAAAGCCAGTTATAGTTTTGCAAACGTTTAATATCTAAACTTTTTTCCATGTTTTTGTCACTTAGTAAATCCTATGAATTATTTAATTGAACTATTTTCTTACAGTTCAGGAAAATAAGGTCTGCACCAAAAGGAAGTGGAAAACGGATTTTTCAACGTCTCGTACCTGGCTTGTTACCATCACACCCATGTTCTCCATGGACTGAAACAAAGTTGTCAACGATCCTTGTAGACCCAAGGCAATCTGCAGTGTGTACTGTACAAGCTCTGCGAAGTGTTGCTAACTGGTCGTTAGGAGTTCAATCGGGAGATAAAAAAGGTTTCCGTAAAGCTTTCCGCAGATTATTTCATCAAAACTTGCCTAGTCGGTACAAAAATAACATTGATCTCGATGAAACCAAAGAACAAATTGGATTAGAAAAGTCGGTTCTAAATGCTTACATTGATATGATAAACCAGGCAGAAAACTTTATATATATTGAAAACCAGTATTTTATCAGCTACATCCTAGGATCACAAGAAGATCAACACAGTGATGAAGATCTTGAAAGCGAAAAAAATTCTACAATTGAAAAAAGTCCTTATGGACAAGCATCTGATCACCTTCAACCTAGTAACTCTAATGCTTTGGTCAAAAATCGCATATGTGAAGCCATTTACCTTCGTATTTTACGAGCTTATAAGTACGAGAATGCAAAAGATTTTTTTATATATCAACTATTATTAGTATAGCTTTAGTAAAATGGTTCCGAAGCTATGTTTATACCCAAATGCCATTTACATTATTTGAAAGTACTTTGATTTATGAGCTGACGTCATCTGCAAAACAGATGAAATTTGAGAACTAGGCTGCTATATTTTCCTAATTTGACTTATCACTAATACATATGCATAACTCAACACAATATCAAGCCAAGGTTCTCAGTAAATTTACACGTATGGTACCATGAGTCACTTAGTCGTAATCCAATTAGCAGCCGCATATAATAACCTAGCATGGTATATTTTGAGCATTTCACAAATAAGCATACTGAGATACAATGTATGATCCTCTTCTCACAAGCCGGTATGAGTAAACTCTTAAATTTGCATCAACTTAATATATAAACTTTCAAATGAAAACAAAATTGCATCTTAAAGTTATGATCAATTTTCAATATATTTTAAGTAAGCTTTGTTACATTTAGAAGTACATTTTTTTCATATAAGTAGTCGTTTTATGTGATTTTGGAAGGACGAGAAACCAACATATTCAGAGTCTTTTAGCAGCTTATTTATTTTAGTCAATCAACTAATGTTTGATGTATAATTTTAATCGAATACACTCAAAATCACACAAAAACTAAATCCTTTTCTGGAATTTGAAAAGAATGAAGCTAATGTTCATACACTGCCTAACAATCGATAAACGTAATAATGAGTGAAAATAATATAAATAAAAATTGAACATCAGTTAATAAATACTTCGTGATAAGGCACAATGTTTAATCTACTGTGTATTAGCTAGTGATGGAAAAAAAGTTAATAACTTGATGTGAAATACTTAGCTTAATACATGTAATTTAATAGTTAGATTCATGGCAAACCTGGAAGCACTTGATCGCCGTTTCGCCTTAGTATGAGACTCCTCAGCAGTGCTTATCCACGATCTCGCCTCACAATATTTGAACTCAAGAGCTATCGGTCTCGTGCGCGAACGCGAACTATTAAGTTACTACAATATCCATAAAACCCCTCTCTAGTTATAATATATGTAATTTTTAGTCTGCAATCACGTATATGAAAAATTTGCAATTAGTCAGTTGTAACGCAGCAAAGATTTTGTTGTTTAACATTAAGATGTATGTTGTTAGTCAAAATACCTGCTGTTGTCCTTGTTAAAACCAGTACAAATGTTGAATGTTCCTTGAAGTAAATAATCATGTAAGACGTAGATTTCTATCATAAAAGATTCAACATAATCCAGAAGAACAAATAATTCCCAAAATCACTGCAACAATCCAGTAAAAACTAATATTAGTAAACTTTGTTGTATGGTAAAAAAAAAATTAAAAAGAGAGGTTTCAGATTGGTAGAGCATAGAATTATCAGTCCCCAAGAAAAATCACTCTTCAGTTTTCTTGGACTGACAATATGGATGGTGGCTAATATGTTATGAACTATGTATAACGCCAACATTTTCAGCTTCTGACGATTCAAAGGTCATATTAAGAGTGATTACTTAGTATTTGAAAGACTTTCCAAATAACTTTATTTCTAATTTTTACTCACAATTGATGTAGTAAAAAATGTATTGGCAAAAGACATTGTCAACATAACACTGACTTTCCTTTGATTGGAATAGCTTTTTTCAGAATTTCAATGCCTAACCCAATGGAATTAAATGAAAGTTATGTTAAACAAAACGGGAGTAAGCTAACTTCTTCGTTGTGAACACTAGATGTGTGCAAGTTTTAAACTGAATAATCATTAAAATGTTCAAGTATTTAGCCTCCTCTCCTCCATATTACTAAACATTTATGCTAGTTTTTTATCTGAAAAGTAATTTAATTGATATATATCCTATAAAGATTTAAACTAAATAAGTAACAAGTGAATTATATTTTTCGAATTCTACTTTTCAGCGAAGGAAAACTCTTCCGTGTTTTCATAATGCTCCCTTCACTTACCGCGTTCAAAGGTGAAGTTGGGACTTCATCTGGGACGTACATACATGCAATTTTACACTATACACGACAAAGCTTGTTTACAGGTGAACATGCTTTAATTCCCCGGTTGAAACATGTTTTACCGAATCCTGAAGACTATGTTTCTATATGTAGCTTAAGAAATTATGACGAATGGCCTGATGGTTCTATAGTAAGTCAACTTAGTGTAGTATTAAACGTATTAACAAACCAACGTAATTTGAATTGACGTCAGTTTAAAATTAGTGACTGCTGTTTCAAGCGTCAATGAGATAAGCTATTTGTAAACATTCCTATTTACGTGCGTTATAACTGAAAAGAAAGGCATGACAACGGGCTTTATTTTCGAAATGTTAGAAACAAATGGTTAGGAACTTATGTCGCTATTCTGGGATATTCCATATGTAGTTAGTTTTGAAAAACTGTTTTTTTTAAAGTATTAAAACTGAATTATTCAAGGCTGAAGTTGACATGACTCAAGATTGATTTCTAACCAAAGAGTTCATTTTGGCTTTATTTCAAGTAAATATACTTGAAAATTTGTGATATTATACACTTCTTACACTGTTATTTTACTGTTTTGTCTAATCATTGTAATGTGGACTGTTTTAACATCATAGTTAATGATGAGCAATTAAATATTTGTACTTTTTACAGAATAAATCATTCCGCACTAATTAATGACTGTAAAATTACCTTAGTCTATTTTCAGTTTATTTTATTTCCAAGTTTTTTATTTTTATTTTTATAAAAGTCTTTGAAACTGCTTTCGTAACTAATTACTTTGATTAGTCTGTTGAAATTCTTGTCTGTTTTAGGTGTATATATTATATTTGTTAAATGTATCAAATGTTTACCAATCTTAACTAGTAGCCTTATGTTCATTGTCACGATATTTACTGATTTATTGCTTTTCCTGATGCTTACTTATTTCAGCACTGATATTTCATCTTTGGTAAGATAATATTAGATAAGAGAAAAAAGACGATCAAAGAACGATTTATTACTAACCAAATTGAATCCTCACTACTAGTATGCGTTAAAGCGTTAAAATACGAAAATACTTTAATTTGTCACGTTGTAAATATGATTCAGTGACCCTATGGTTTTTACTGGGGGTAGATTGAACGACTAAGATTACTCAAAAATCAATAAATAAAGTAATTTAATCTTCTTATAATCACTCAATAAAGTAAAGACAAGAAGCAACCATGAATGAATATAATCTTTTATGCATAGATTGCAGAGTATTTTAAATAATTTTTAGAACAATGTATCTATGATCTTATATGGGAATCAGTTCGCTAGATTATTCCAGGTACTTTTAACATGATTTACCACTTTTTAGCAAGTAGTTTATTTACGTAATGTTTCAATGACATGATGCACCTATGAATCTCCTAGTGAATACAACGTTTTAAAACATTAAAAATATAAGGATTCCTCATTGAAATGGCTTTCAGCATTGCGTTATTCGTTTTCGAGTTTATCCTCTCTTTCCATTTCAGAGAACAGAACTAATTTACATTCACAGCAAAGTTATGATTGTTGACGACAAGAAGATGGTTTTGGGATCAGCTAATATAAATGATCGAAGCATGTTAGGATTTCGTGATAGTGAATTGGGTATTATAATCGAAAGTAACTCAGACAATGACTTAATTGAGGGAAAGCTTGGAAATACATGTGCAAAAGTACATCCATTTATACAAAGATTTCGCAGAAGTTTGATGGCTGAATTCCTTGGAATGTTGCCAAAGATTCCAAAAGAATACAAAATGTGTGTGCATCATGACCTGTTAGATGACCCAGTGTCAAATGAATTTTTCCACGACGTTTGGAATGCAACTGCTGTTAACAACGGAGAGATTTTCGAGAAAGTGAGGAGCTAATTATTTTTTCCATATTATATATAAACAAATAACTATTCTATGAAAGTCATATCTCCATGTTTAATTGTTGAGTAGCCATATAGCTATAAATATTATTACAAATATAGTGTTTGCAGGATAATGTGGGTTCCTCTTTAAGTTGAGTAGTTTTTTTTGTTAAAAAGAGGAAAAGTAATGTTACAAATGAAGTTAAATCCTCAACACCAACAAAAAGTTTTAAAAAAATGTTACATCTGAATAAATTCAAACATTTGAACGGAAGTTGACAACAGGTGTAGATCTTTAATGCCATATGGCTTTTCAATTATTCAGTGGACTGTTTAGCGAGTTTGTAACTTAACTGCAACGAAATCTGTCAAATACTAGTAGCTTGTTTTTAAAACAAAAGCTATCAAACTAGAAACTGTGCAAACGATGAAAAGCAGTACTTTGTGTTTAGGGAACTTGTTAAGGTTTCTTGTATTATGAAGTTATTTTCAATTTTTTTTCATATATATATATATATATATATATATATATATATATATATACTGAATTAATAAATGAAGATATTAGATTACACGCCGATATTTTTTTTGTTAAAAATGATGCTTAATGTAGAATCTGTAACATCTATGCATACGTTCACGTTGCCATAATAGGATGAATAAATTACCAAAATATACAATTCACTTCTCTAGAAATCTAAGAATTTAGGTAGTCTTGAGGAATTTATTTAATATAAAAATGTATTCTAAACACATTTAAAATATAGGATGACGAATTTTGAAGCGTTTTGTGATCACTATTTCACTCGTCACTTGCTCGTCAACACCACTATGATATTCAATTCCTTGAGAATGACCTAATTTAATTGTACAACCTAATAGCTTTTCATTAGATGTTCGTGCTCATATTATCTAATAAAGCACGATTCACATCAAATAAATAAATAAATGAGAAACTGTACTGATGAACCAGTTTTCATGAGTATGACGTTCTTGGCAAAATGTAAGTTTGTGTAATGTTTTAAGAACGGTGCAGAATTTACAGATAATTAGAAGTTGTAACTTTGGAGTCTCACTAATTGATTTATAATTTGTTTTTTCACTAGTCAACAAATCGGGTATTCCCGTTATAAAGCAATATGATGATTTCATCTATTTTTTTTATGAATAGGTTTTTAATTGCATACCTGGCTCAGGCTTGTTAACCTTTCGACAGTGCGCTGAAAGGAGAAATGAAGTCCCATTAATTGTCAGTGATCGTGAAAAAGCAATTGAGTTACTTAAAAATGTAAGAGGCTACTTAGTACCATTTTATTCTGATTTCCTTGCGGACGAATCACTAGTATGTCCAGTAGGAAGTATTGAACGAATGATTCCAGAAGTAATTTGGACATGACACTCGGAATACTTTTTCATATTATCAGATAATCTAAAATACTTCTATTATTTTGTCTTTCTAAAGTGTTCATTTCTTTTAAGAATAATTAATTATATTATATCAGTTCTTATTTAAATTATTTGTAACTTTTTTATAGTAATTCAGATTTCATTAACTTAACTTTATTTTTGCTAAGCATAACTTTTATACTTTCCCGAAACATTTTAACACGTTTATGTCTTTCTAAACAGTCTGAAAATGAATCCAAACGAAACTTTAAATAGCAGTAAAACATAAAGCTTTGAATAATGTTTTTACAGTTGTGCAAAAAGATAACTCTCCAAGAACAACTTGAACCGGTGAATACATTAAAATAGGTTGATTTTGTTTTTATCAGAGGTACTGACAGTGGTTATTACTACTATTATAGAATACTTATAACAAAATGATTAACTATTTAGATATGTTTCAAGTATATTCTTATTTTCTTTCACAGTATTAAACAAAAATAAATATTACGTATAATGAGTGTATTTTTCGACACTGATTTAATTACATAAATTTCTCGGTTCCTCCATTTCGACAGTAACAAAATAGGAGTAACTTGAATTGTAGTATAACTTTCGAACTTTAAGAAATCCAAATCCAAACTTTAATAACTGATTAAAACAGCTTAATTTTCTCCAAAATAACGTCAAATAATATTATTACGTTTCCGCCTTTCAACGAAACAGATGTAATGAAACGAAGTGAAATGTCTTCTGTGACATTTCATAAAATTATCTGCAGGAAACAATATGCATTCATTTCGATGATGTGAATTGATGGACCATCAAAATCAGGCTCCTATAATTTCTCTAGATCTGGCTGAGTGACCTTTCATTTAATTCACAATCAGTGTCCTTGATGGTAGTACCAAAAAGTTTTGCTGTGTTGTTCAGGTTATAAACAGATTAAACGACTTCTAGTTTTCCTGAAAATCAGTGTAAAATGACCCCTTGCGAATCAGATTTATGATAAATGTGTGTCATACAAGTGTCATAGTAGTTAACAAGGTAAAGGTAACTGTTTGATGGAAATAAGAGTTCTCTGATATTAGTGTGGTTGTAATTAAATGTGGCAGTTAGACTGTAAATTGAAAAGAGTAGAACATAAATATTTTTCTCCTAAATTATGGTTAGTATTAGGTGGAAGTAATTGGTCACTTATCCAGTCGAATGTGGCTTTTAATCTTAGGATTCACATGTGCATGTTAACTGAGATCACTACCCTATGGCCTTATGAATGAAAATTATGTGCCTTATTGATCTATTGCGCATCACCCTACCATTACAGAACTGTTCTATGTGGACACTACGGCTGGTATGGAAGGATTTAACTCTGTTAATATATTACTAGTATTTTTAAGGATCTTTAACATTTACAGTCAAGGTTCAGTTGGAATAAGCTGTTGATTCACATTCCCCTCACCGTCCTAACTGTTTTGCACTTTTACTGTCAAATATCAAAGGTTAATTTTTCTATGGAATTATTTCACCAATCTGTACGTAGAAAAGTTATTCTTCCTTTTGAGGGCTTTATAAAGGCTGTCATAATTTGGAAGCATGTTTCTTTCTAGCTTGTACTTCATAGTGAATTATAAATCTGCAAATATGTTTCGCAGAATTAAACATCTGTGAGATGAAAGAAAGTGGCTACCATGAGCTTTTCAATGTGCTCGTTATTATGTGAAAAAATATTTTACTTATTCAAACTAGTAAGTGACTGTTTATCTGCTCACGGTTTTATTTCCTTGAGTATTTGAAATACTTTACAGAGAACATATCTGTAACCTCACTAACAGTTCTTTAGATGCTTCACGTATTCGTGAGGTCATGAATACGCAGATCAATCAATTAAACTTGAAGTTGATCAATTAAACACTGCGAACATTTTGCAAGAATTGGGTTGATTTTCAACTCTGGATATCATGAGAAACTGTTCGGTGAATAAATGTTCTACAATCACTCTAATTATGCATAGTTCCTAATAACACATTAGCTATGGATGGTTACTACAAACAAAATACTTTTTTCTGTCATATGAATAATATGATATTCTACTAAATGACCTGCCGTAAAAAAAATTGTTTAAGCTCTTATTACTGTGGTACAAAGAAAATGAAATGTAAATGACTCTCAGTCAAGCCATTCACTAGGCATATCACTTAGCGTCGAATTGTTAATAGAGCCTTATGAAGGTTAGAGACAACCAGATTCCATCAAGCGGTTGCACTCCACGAACATGGATATGGGGCAGTGGTCCCATTTTTTATTTCTCTTATCCGCTCTTACAAATATATGCAATTTTCCGTTGACAGTATTTCTCTTAACAATATCAAATGACCATTTAACCTTTTTATCGAGATAGGATAAGCCAGATCAGATATTAACTGCCAGATGTGACTTTGACGTAAGCTAGGAGGTCATACTGTTTCCATCTAACTTCAGCAGACCATGACCACCCAAAGAGATCATCCACATGGGTGACCTACGGCATGGTAAAAAATTTAGGACCCCTCGAAGCCCCTCGCTGTTTCGTTTCAAAGACTTTGAACCACCTAGTGTGAGGTGGTCATTCAGTATGTCAATTACTTAGTTTCATATATTTTAGATGTTTTCATATTTAAGTAGTCTGTTGTCGCACTAAAATCACAAAACTATTGCAAAAAACACCAACATTAACACAAGCACTATAAGCAAAGATGGATGGTGGCTAGCAGTGAAATTCAGGACTCGGTAGCGAAGTGAATAACGTGGTGGCTTTTGGAGTGAATTGTAATAAGTCCGAGTCCCAGAGTGATTACCAACTTTGAGATGCACTTACACCCAACTGACGAGTCCCAAATAGAACGAAACGCACGATCTGGATTTGACTGCCAGACACCATTCATCTTTGCTCTCCGTTTGATAGTGTACATGTCGGATCGATCGTTGACCCGTAATTTGATCTCGAATACCAATCGCTTTACTGAACTTCATCGAATTTGTTCAAAACTTGATTGGGCCCAGAAGACAACGTAATAACAATAAGTTAATAATTCTAGACACGCAAACTTTGTATAAACCAATGTTTTACGCGTTCTTTGGGAACAAATGTCAGATGAACGGTAATTACTTACTGCAGCTACTTCTTGTGTGAGAATGCGCTGCTGACCAGCATACTCCATTCAACTATGTCCTAGACAAGCTATACCAGTTGTCTCCAGCTGCTATTTATTCTTTGGATGTCTGTCTCCTATTACTTTCAGTTTACCTTCATGACTTTCCTCGTGGTTCAACTGGACGATTTCCTCAATATATGTCCTGTCCACCTCCAGTGTCTTTTCCTAATTCCCTCTTCAGTTGGAAGTTGCTTTGTTCTCTACCACAGTAGTTCGTTGCTGATGGTATCCGACCAACGGACATTCGGTATCTTACGAAGACAATTCTTTATAAATACCTGTACTTTCTTGATGACGGTTGTGGTAGTTCCCGAAGTTTCAGCTCCGTACAGTAGAACTGTCTTTACGTTCGTATTGAAGATTCTCACTTTGATATTGGTTGACAGTTGTTTTGAGTTCCATATGTTCTTCAATTGTAGGAGTGCGGCTGTTGCTTTGCCAATCCTCACCTGCATACCTGCATCGGATCCTCCTTGTTCATCGATGGTGCTACCCAGATACGTGATAATTTCCACCTCTTCCAGAGCTCCTCCATCAAGTGAGATTGGGTTGGTGTCCTGTGTGTTGTATTTGAGGATGTTGCTTTTTGCCTTGTGTATGTTGAGGCCTATTGCTGCAGAGGCTGCGGCTAAACTGATTGTCTTCATCTGCATTTGTTCGTGTGTATGGAATAGAAGAGCTAGGACATCTGCAAAGTCCGAATCGTCTGGTTGCATCCAGGTTGTCCATTGTATTCCGTGCTTCCCCTTGAGCGGTAGAAACCATAGATCAACTTATTTTTTATGCCATGAGCCAGTGGGTTATCGTTTCAAGTTACTCCCAAAATAAATTTGTTGCTGGTGACGAGATCAAAGGTTGATCAACGAAGAAGGTAGAAAAGAGAGCCTTGACTAAAACGCTAATGGTTACTGGATCTAAATTACCCGAACGATTATCTGTACTGTATTTGATTGCTAGTCCATTATTACAGTTTGACAATTAACTAAATGAAATGACACATTTGCTGTTGAACACAGACTTTTGACATCTACAGAATCATGTGTTCAGAAAAAAAAATGCAATGGGTCCTTAATAAGCAAACCACGATTTCACGACACTAAATCTTCTTATAAGAGGCTTTGGGTTGAGTTTCTAGAGGAAAATGTAATATGTCAAGCCATTTATATAAAAACAACTGTGGCAGATTCTAGTTGCAATTGCTGTAAGCGACTCTGGTCGTTTGTCTCTTGCATAAACCTTGTTAGTGGATGCTCTATAGCCCAAATGTTCTCTACACTTGTTTCTCTGCTCTGTTGCTTTGATGAACTACTGCCATCGTCGCGAAGTATTTATGATTTAATGGTTACGCTTCATAGTATTTTGTTTTCACCTAGCTTCATGTAGTATTTTCGCGAATAAGTAATTTTTATATAAGCCTACTAACCTGTAGCGTCATATAAATCCCCAAAATAAATAGTTCTGTAAGTCATCGACATTCGATACTAACCTTATTAGTTTTACATTTAGAATGCTAGAAAAATTACCAGTTAACTCTGCGAATCTATATGGTTTGCGTTCAATACTACCATTATTACTAAATTGAAACATTTTATTGCTGTTAAAATGAAAACTATTGAATTTTTTACTTGTTGTGATTATACTTGCTTTGATTACTTATTGCACTAAAAAGCATTCTTGTCTACTTTAACTAAAAGTACTGTAGTGTCAGTTATGATGGCAAGCCCATATACCTTATTCTAACATCCGGACATCCTATTTTATTCATTTTACTTGAGCCATATTTTGACCTTGTTAATTATTCGCTTATTAGCCTTGA